TATATATATATATATATATATATATATATATATATATATTCTCTTTTAATTGACTTATCTGTCACCTGGAATTCAGATGTTCTTCTTTAAACCTATAAAAATTATCCAGCCCAATTTAATTCAGTGTCTTTGTTCCTGTCCATCAGTTTGGCAGCCAGGGTTGTTTTTTTTGGGACTTTCTGAAGCAGCAGTGGAGGCAGTAATGGGCGAGCCTCTCTGTGTGGTCTGCTCCCCTTTCCGCTGTGACTGGAGGGGTCAGCAGGGACCAGTGTGGCCATGCCGGTGACCTGTGTGATTTCCTGTCCTCCTTTTGGCTTAGACCAGTTAAAGGCCCTGCAGAAGAATTATGGCAAGCTACAGCAGGATGTCCTCCAGTTTCAAAAGAACCAGACCAATCTGGAGAAGAAGTTCTCCTACGACCTGTAAGTGTGTCTGCATCAAGTGCATGCCCTCGGGTGGCTGACCAGTTCTAGGCCAAGGGCAGCGTACGGGTTCCAGCATAATCTCCACTCGCCCTTCCCATTACAGAGCATACAGGGCTCTGTAGGAAAGGTCCAGTCCCTTTTCAAGGAGTCAGGTCTTTCAGAAATAATAAATTTTGTTTTTTAAGTGTCAGCAGTACTTTAAAAAGCTATGGAAAAGTGTTAACCAGTGGGCTCATAAGACAAGATAAATAAGAAGGCAATTCTCCTTAGTAGAAAATGACTTACTTAACATACTTTAAAACTTAACGTAACTTAAAACTCCGTAAAGCACAGGTGTGCTAGGAGTCAGCACCCCACTTCTTACTCCCACCCCTGGGGGCAGACATCACTAAGCGATCGCTGGAATAAATCCAAATACAGCCTTGCAGCCTCCCCTCACATCACTTAGAGTCAGGGTATGAGATGAGTTGCTTGCCATCTCATCTTCATGCCATGAGGAAATGGAGTTGGTGAATGCTGTTACTGGATGTAATTAGTAATACTCTGATGTCAGTGACCTGGATGATTGGGTCACCCGCCTTGATAGAGCCTGGTACTGAGCACATTCCATTCATAGTCTTCTGACCATCAGTTGCACCAGTTAGAATAATCTCTGGTGGCCAAGTCTTGTATGTTTCTACCTTTTCGCACCAGTTTAACGCCTGAACATTTACCATGTACCTGTAAGAAAAAGCCTGCCTGAGGCCCTCAGGAAGTAACACAGTCACAATCTGTTTGACCTGTGTCTTGGAATTTGAGCTGCGTTCTGAGGTGGTTCCTGTTATTGCTGGCAAGCTGGATTGTGGAAAGCTGACCTTAATCTGCAAGGCGGAGAGATAGAGACTCTTTGTACTTGATTTTGGCAGAGCTGAGAGCAGGTGAAAACACTACTTCTCTTTTTGTAGGTTTAAAGGTCCAGGAACATCTCTGCACCTGCTGTTTGCTAATCCTGAGCTTCTGTGATATTCGTAACAATTGGTCACATTTAGTTCTTCAGTATACAGATGTCTTTCTTTGTTCCCTGTGTTTAAGCTACTGCATACCAGTTTACTACCTGTGGCTTGCATGTTTGTGAGAATTTTATTTAAATGAATTTTTCACCAAATCTTCTTTCTCTTGATCTGTAAGCTGTGCAAGGTCAGGAACTCAGTCTTTCATTATTTCTACAGTGCTTGATGCCCCTGTGTGTGTGTGGTACGTTGAGATCCAGTAAGTCCTTTGAACTGAAAGGTGTATTACAAGGGTTAGAGGTTGAGTTCACTTACACTTGGCTCTGAAATGCATGCGGCGCAGATGAGGCTGCCGTGTGGTAGAGAGAGCACTGCACAGCATCAGGAAACCACATTTCTGGCTTCTGGTTTCAACCTTATCCCTCACAAGGTGGCCAACCACTATCAGCCATCTTGGATTGTGAGGTAATCATGAGGATAGAAAGCAGTGCTAGGATATTGAAACAGAAAGAGAAGCCTGGAATGTCGATGACTCAGCTGCCATACTGGCTCTGAACTGCCTACATCCAGACTTCTTTTATGTGAGGAAAAAGTAAACTGCTATCTTTTGGCCTTTCTGTTTCACCCTGCCAAACCTAATGCTAACTCATCCAGTTTTGGGGAGTGTCTTTAGATAGTTTCTTGATCAAACTAGATCATTTTCATGAATGATTATCTGTTGCCCACAAGACTCCTTAGGAAAGGCCATTTAGAATTGAGTCCTAAAAAATGGGGAGTAGAGAAGGGAGGTTAGGACTTGTTCTATAAAAGAGAGAGAATCTGGGGAGCTCAGAGTACTCTATCTGAGCAAGACAGACGGTATCATGTAGTCATGGAGGTAAAGGATTAAGAGTAATAGCTTGGGGATGGGCATAAAAATGATTAGTTATGTGGGTCTTGCTGGGAAATCTTTCCAGATTCTGAGGTCATGAATCTTAGGTCTTCAGTTGAGTCACACAGGTCCCTGAAGCTATGTTCTGTTTGTTTTTTTTCGATTCCCCCCGGCCTATTTTTTTTTTCTGTTTAGATTGGGTAGTATCTATTGTTTATTTTCCAGTTCACTGATGCTTTCCTCCACTGAGATTTTTTATTTTGGTTATTGCATTTTTCAGTTCTAAAATTTCCATTTGGTTCCTCTTTATAGCTTCTGTTTCTTTGCCGAGACTTGCTTTTTTATTTGCTTCAAGCAGTTGTAATTGCTCATTGAGGTATTTTTCTGGTGGCTGCTTTAAAAATCTTTGTCACATCATTTTAACTTCAGTCTCAGGTCAGTGTTGGTATCTATTGATTGCCTCTTTTTGTTCAATTTGAGATCTTCCTGGTTCTTGTGATGAGTGATTTTTGATGGAAACCTCTGGACAGTGGTGAAAGCCTTGATTCTTCACTGACATCCTCATGGGGGTGGGAGGGGACCTCATTACTGTCAGGGGGAGTGGAAATGCTAGTTCCCCACATCCCTCCAGTGACACCACTGTGTTGTTCTTCAGATCCGAGCTCCCTAGCTGGCTGGCTTGCCTTTCTCGCTCCACCTTCAGAGTCTTCTTACATTTGTTTTAAATATAATGTCCAGAGTTTTCAGTTGTGCTTAGTGAGAGGAATAGGGAAAAACACATCTAGTCCATCTTCCTGGAAGTAGAAATTCAATTCAGTTTTGACTCTGCCCAGGTTTAACACAAACCCCGCAGATTAAGGGGCTCAGTCCCATAAGACTGCCCCATTTCGGACTCCAGCCATAAGCTCTGGGTGTCTCCAAGCCACATTGACTTTTGCCTGGCTAGCTACAAATTCAGGGCTTCCCACAACCCCCTGAGTTTTCAGTAATTCTATAGAATAACTCACAGAATTCAGGAAAGTTCTGTACTTAACAATTACAGGTTTATTATAAAAGATACAACTAAGAAACAACTAAATGGTAGAGACTGATAAGGCAAGGTCTAGAATGGGGGTGGGGAGGAAGGCAGAAGCTTATGCTGGAGTTGGGGTACCACCTTTCTGGTACATAGATATATTCACCAACCAGGAAATTGGCTAAGCCTCATGGTCCAGAGTTTTTATCTGAGGTATTATTATATAGATATGATTGATGAAGTCATTGGTCACATGATTGAACTCCATCTCCAGCTCCCTGGAGAATGGGGGTGGGCTGAAAGTTCCAGCCCTTTAATAATGTGGTTGGTTCTTCTGGCCACCAGCCCCATCCTAAAGCTATGTAGGCTTCTCCCAGTTAGTCAACTCATTAGCATAAGCTCAGGTATGGTCCATAGGGCTAATTATGAATAACAGAAGACAGTCCTATTACTCAGAAAATTCTAAGGATTGTAGGAGCTCTGTGCCAGTAGTTGGGGACAAAAAACAAAATTTAGAAAAATTATACCAAAGATTATATTTCAAAAAATTGTTTTTTTTCTAACCAATAAAATTCACCTGTTTTAGAACGATGTGACGTATTTTTAGTAAGCTCAATCAACTAGTTTTGTTGTCATTTAATTGTCAAAAATATACGTGTTGTCTTGCCTCACGTGTCCTCTTCAGATAAGGCGCCTGGCGCGGGACAAAGATGAGCTGTGTCTCTTACTGAAGTGGAATTTAGCCACAGCAAGCACACACCTGGCATGTAGACACATCCATAGATATTTGTCCTGTCCTTTCCTTCTTTCACCAAAGGAGCCAGTGCATCAATCAGATGAAAGAGGTGAAGGAGCAGTGTGAGGAGCGGATAGAAGAAGTCACCAAAAAGGGAAACGAAGCTGTAGCTTCCAGAGACATGAGTGAAAAAAAAGACCAAGGCCAGCAGGTAATTCTGGGTGTTTCTGTGTAGGATTTTCAGAAGGTCTTCCCAACCTCTTGTTCAGACATTTTGTTCCCTATCTGCTGCCTGATTGACTCCACTCGGCTCTCTTGGTCCCCAGATGCGGACCGCTTCATTTAAAGCACACAGCTACCCTGGGAGAGGGTTGCTGTGTTTTTCCTGTTTTGAGTGCTGGGGCCCACGGAAATGGTTACTTACTGTGGCCGAGGTCACAGCACCTGGTGTGTGGTGGAGCCAATCAGAGCGCGTGCTGTCAGGCTGCCTCCTGTGTAAAGCACAGCCCGTGAAACTGCTGCTCAAAGCCATCTGGGAGGTCTTTGGTTCTGTTTTTAAATATAGCAGCTTTATTGACATATATTTTATATACCATACAATTAGCCATGTAATATTTAAAATTCATTAATTTTTAGTATGTTCACAAAGTTGTGCAGCTATCATCACAATGAATTTTAGAACATTTTCATTACCCCCAAAGAAACCCTATACCCGTTTGCTCATTCTCCATATACCGCCAATCCCCAGAGTGCTAGACAACCACTAACCTATTTTCTGACTCTATTGATTTGCCTTCTCAAATCACACAATATGGGGCCTTTAATATCTGGCTTCTTTCACTTAGCATAGTGCTTATCCATGCTGTTGCATGAATGAGTGCTTCATTCCTTTTCATGACTGTCTAATAGTCCACTGCATGGCTGTACCGAATTTTGTTTATTCATTTGCCACTTGATAGGCATTTGGGTTATTTCTGGGTTTTGGCTATTATGAATAATGCTGTAATGAACAATTTATGTACGTATTTTTGTGTGGACCTAAGTTTTCATTTCTCTTAGGTGTATACTAGGAGTGGAATTGAAACTTAGTTCCACACAGAGAATGAGTTGGGGAGTATTTCTTCTTTCTTTTGGAAGAGTTTGTGAAGATTTGGTATTGATTCTACTTTCAATGTTTGGTAGAATTCACTAGTGAACCCATCTGGACCTGGGCTTTTCAGAGGAGAGATTTTTAAATTACTAATTCAGTCTCTTGTTATAAATGTACTCAGATTTTCTACTTCTTCTTGAGTCAGCTTTGGTAGTTTGTGTCTTTCTAGGAATTTATGTATTTCAAAACTTGTTGGCAAACAGTTTATAGTATTCCTTTATAAATAATAATGCATTTTTATTTGTGTGAGGTTGGTAGTGTTCCTTTTCATTTTTGATTTTAGTAGTTTGAGTCTACTCTTTTTCTCAGTTAATCTGGCTAGAGTTTTATCAATTTTGTTCATCTTTTCAAAGAACTAACTTGGTTTCATTGATTTTTCTCTGTTGTTTTTTATTCTATATTTCATTAATTCGTTCTCTGATCTTTATGATGTCCTTCCTTGATTTAGGTTCAGTTTGCTCTTCTTTTTCCAGTATCATAAGGTAGAACATTATGTTACTTAATTGAGATCTTTGTTTTTCTTTTCTTTTTTAAGATTTTATTGGGGAATTGGGGAAGGGGAACAGACAAGTTGCTGTCCTTTTGTTCTTCAGTCTAGTTGTGGAGGACGTTGCTTCACTGGCCCANGAGGGCAGTGTCACTGGCCCTCATATGTGGGATCTGAACCGGGGCCCTCTGGCGTCCCAAGCCAGTTCTTAACCATCGCGCCACTTGGCCGGCCCCAGAGTTTGATTCTTGATTGAGGATGTGACTGTACCCGGGCTCCCCCAGACGAAGGTCAGAGGTGCTGATTCAGCCAGGCGTGCTGGGGCCTTTCACGGAGGAGCGTGTCCTGGAGCTGAAATAGAGCCAGAGGACCTGCTTACCCCTTCCTCGGGTTATGGGCTGGTGTTTGGAAAGCAGATCTTTCAACATGCATGTTCCTTTTCAGGCTGCAGACGTCAGGGATTCCAGCCTGAGAGCTGCCCGCCTGAGGCCCTCCCTCCTGACACCTGCTCTGGGTGGGGAAGGGGCTGTTCTTCCTCATTTGCATCTTCTCAGGGGTCTTCTGAGCTGTTAGGTTGTAGGTGTTTCATTCTGTGCTTGTCTTCCTTGCAGGCGTTTTTAGTGAACAATATTACCACCGGCGAGAGGCTCATCCGAACCCTGCAAGGTGAGTCCTACTCCCTCCTGTGCACCAGACACTGGGCCTTGGAGGGAAACCCGCCTTCCCTCCTGTCTTTCTCCAAGGGCTCTGATTCTAACCTAATAATGGCTGACTAGTGCTTAAGTAATCTTTAATTTATTCTTTTTGCCTAACTATAAATCCTTAAAAAGCTTTTCCTTTAAAACAGTTACTGAATACTTTGCAAGCTGTTCTGTACAGAAGAAATCAGACTCATTTTTTGATACATTAAAAGACACACACACACACACACACACACACACACACACACCTACACACATATAATATGTATGTGATCTGTTTTATATATACTGGGGATGCAAAAAAATGTATACAAGTAGACACTTGGGTCAACGTTGCTCAAGTAATAGTTTGCCATAATCAGAAGTGCCTGGATGCTGATGGTAACCACTTTGAGCACCTCTGCGGAAGTTAAAACGTGACTTGTATTCACCTTTTGTTATAGTATATATTGAGTGTTACAATTTTAATAGTTTTTTTCCTTTCTTAAAGTGTATATACATTTTTTGGTGCGCTCTCTTTCTCTCTCTCTCTCTCTCTCTCTCTCTCTCTCTNGAACAGACAAGTTGCTGTCCTTTTGTTCTTCAGTCTAGTTGTGGAGGACGTTGCTTCACTGGCCCAAGTTGGTATTATCATTGCGCTCTTCCCAGCTGAGGCAGATCGGTCGCCAGGCACTGGACGGCTGCTCACGGTGGCTCTTGGCAGCTCATGCTGGCTGCCGGCCACTCAACGATAGCTTACAGGAGCCCACTGCAGCCTATGCCATGTCTGGCGAATCATGGCAGCCTAGTTCCAGGTTGAGTGGTTGTTCACCATCTTAGCTGTAGAGGGCATAGTGTCACTGGCCCTAACGTGGGATCTGAACCGGGGCCCTGCTGCTCAGAGCTGGCGTCCCAAACCAACTCTTAACCAACGCGCCACTTGGCCGGCCCGAGATCTTTGTTTTTCTTGATTTCCCTCTGAACACTGCTTTAGCTGCCTCCCATGAGTTTGGTATATAATATGTTGTGCTTTTTGTTTCAATTTTCCTTTCTAATTTGCCTTGTGATTTCTTTGACCCATTGGTTATTTTAGAAGTGTGTTGCCTAATTTCCACATATTTGTGAATTTTCATTCTTCTACTGATTAAGAATTCCATTCCACTGTGACTGGAAAACATACTTTGTATGATTTCAGTCATTCTAAATTTGTTGAGGCTTATTTTGTGGCCTACCATCTGTCTGTCCTAGAGAATGAATATTCAATGTATACTTGAGAAGAATGTGTATTTTGCTTTTGTTGGGTTGAGTGTTCTGTTGATGTCTCTTTGGTCTGGTTGGTTTATAGTGTTGTCCAAGTCTTCTTTTTCCCTATTCGTTCTCTGCCTGCTTGTTAATCCATTACTGAAAGTACTTTCTGGGAGATCTTGACGCAGCCTCAGATCTTCTGACTTATGCCAGTAGGGCACAATTGGCGGACATCATGGCGTTTCTCAGGGTTTCAGTGTCCTCATTTGTCAGAAGGATGTAGTGGCCCATCACATTGCTCAGGGGTGTCGTAAGGTTTCTAGTCACCCTGGCCATCTTGTGCTCCTGTTTCAGCTCCCAGCTCCCAATGAGTCTCAGCCGAGATTGCAGGAAGCAGGCCTGGCCCAGGCAGAGGCGCCAAAAGCAAAAGAAAATATGCCCAGTAATGGCGAGCCCCAGACACCAGCCCCCACTTCTGAGGTGTCTGTGGATTTGAAGAGACAGGGTGAGAAAGGTAAGTGAAGCTTGGTGATTACATGTTTAACCCTGTTCAGAGCCCCATTGAAATAAAAAACATAGTGGCAATTCATGACTTCTAGTCCATATAAATACTCCGAGGACAGCGTGTGCTGCTGGCAGCAGTTGGTGAGCTCAGTAATGGGGCTGCAGGTGGCAACTGAGTCTCTCTGGGCACCTGGAACTGGGGCTGCAGGGCTTTTTCTGTCTCACTGGTCTCATCCTTATAAACTACAATAATTGCCTTGTTCTTTGGTAGTTGTGTGAAGAAAGGTCCAAACCATGACTTTATTCAGGACACTGGTGAGATTGGGCTTAATAGGAGGTGGCTGAGTCCTAGGCAGTGGTCATTGGCTCCCAAGTACTTGTCTTAAGCAGATATGATAATCAGATAACCTTAGCAGTACCCTTTCCTACGCTTGTAGGTGATTGCTTAGTCCAGATTTTTTTTTTTTAATTGGGTAATTGGGGGGATGGGAACAGTGATGGGGAATTGGGGGAAGGGGAACAGACAAGTTGCTGTCGTTTTGTTCTTCAGTCTAGTTGTGGAGGACGTTGCTTCACTGGCCCAAGTTGGCACCATCATTGCGCTCTTCCCGGGCGAGGCAGATCAGTCGCCGGCTTCTGGACGGCCGCTCACTGCGGCTGCTGGCCGCTCACGCTGGCTGCTGGCTACATATGGTAGCCCATGGCAACCCACTGCCACAGGGACTGCAGCCTACGCCGTCGCCAGCAACTCACGGGCAGCCCAGCTCCAGGTTGAGCTGTTGTTCAGCATCTTAGCTGTAGAGGGCAGTGTCACTGGCCCTCATATGTGGGATCCGAACCGGGGCCCTCTGGCATCCCAAGCGAGTTCTTAACCATCGCGCCACGCGGCCGGCCCCAGATTTTTTTTTTAAACCAGTTTTCTCTTCCTCATGGTTCTAAAGAGGAGCTGCAGGCATAGAGAGGACTGGAGTCTTCTGCAGAGGTCACAAAATAAATTCCACAGCTGCCCCACCCACCACAGTCCACCCCATCCACAGTCCTTGGGAAGGCTCTGGGAGTTGAGTGGCACAAGGGTTTTTGTTTTTCTTTTAATGAGATTAAATGCTAGTGAGGTCACAGCTAATTACGTTCCATACACAGAGGAAACCAATGACATTCAGGTCATCAGTGAGGAGCTTCGGAGGGACAGCCTGGGGCTGCCACCAGAACCAGACCTAAAGCAGGCTGTGGAAGAAGACAGACAAGCGGGCGGAAGAGGCGTGGGAGATGCTGGAGACCTTGGCCAAACCCCACAGGTGCCAGCCGCCCTGTTGATGAGCCAGGAAAATGAGGTGGCGGAGGACCCTGAGCGGGACCAGCTCGTCATCCGGGATGGGCAGGAGGAGGAGCAGGACGCAGACGAGGAAGGTGAGTGAGAGGCTCTGTGGGCTGCTGCTTTCCCCCAGTCTCCGTCCTGACACGGGAAGGGTCCCCTTGAAGTTTACCAAACAGCAGTTGACGATCTGGTGGTTGGTTTTGTTTGTTGGGTATCCATTATCAAGTGGGAGGCAGAAGGAATAGCACTGCACTCGCCAGCACTCCGAGGTTTCAGAAATAATATTCACAGGGAGCCGAGCGGGCTTTTCAGGTGGAAGGCCGTGGTGGGTGCTCAGCATCGGGTGAACGTGGGCCTCCTGGCAGGCAGACCACAGGCCTTGTCTTTGTCCACTTCCTCACGCAGTCTCACCGGTCAGCGTCTGGTGACTGGCGGAAGGAAGGATTGGATAGATGGAGCTTCATGCGTATTGGAGCGTTGCAGCAAAGGGACATGTGAATCCCATCTCTCTGGTTTGGTTGACTTTTCTCTTTTTCAAAGGAGAGTGTGGGAAACAGATCAACAGAATATTCTGGGATGTATTTTGGTTTCTTTTTTTTTTCCTTTTGTTTTTAAACTTTATTACGGAACAGTGTGTTTTTTTCCAGGACCCATCAGCTCCAAGTGAATTCGTTGTTTTCAGTCTAGTTGTGGAGGGTGCAGTTCACTGACCCATCTGGCAATCGAACCAGCAACCTTGGTGTTACAAGCACCGTGCTCTAACCAACTAAGCCAACCGGCTGCCCTTTGTTTCTTAAAGATGTGAACAATTTCAGTCCTGGCCAAGCCAGGGGCACTTATGAAGACACCTGAGTTCTGTGTCAACCAGTAACAAAAACTGGAGACTGTTTATTTGCAGAAGTTATCCTGATTTCATTTAAATATAATTTTCACTCCAATTTCTTTTTCTGAAGAATGAGTTCTCAGCTCAATAACTGAAAAAAAATAAAAGGAAACTCGGTGGCTGAGCTGGTGGCACTCAGGTTTCAGACCAGGTCACACAGAGTACCAGCTGCTGAGGGTGGTGATTCTGCAGGGCGAGCGGGCTACACCTCATGCTAGGTGCAGTTGTAACGATCTACTTTGTAGAATAAAGCCACGGGACACACAGGCCTGTGCTTCAATTCCACTTTAGGTAATGAGTGCAGAGCAATATAACTAGAGCTGACTTTTCCAGGCATGCTTTAAAAAAAAAGATTTTATTTACCTGTATACATATACAAGATGTTTTCCTTAAACCCTGTGAACATTACATTGTGTGCATTTTGCCCTGATCTTTTCTGTTTGCTGTTCTCTTCAGGGGTGACTGTACTGATGAATGATCTAATTCTGTGTGTAGGATGGAAATTTTTACCTTTTGGCTCACAATAGCACTACATTTCCTTCTTTTGGGGCGATGACACGTTCTGAGGAGGTGCCGTCATTAACTAGAAACCTGTTGTTTCCAAAAACAGTGGTGGCTTCCTGTAACCTTGAGTTGACCATTTCTTTAAAAAACTGCAATTTTGGCGTAGCTAGCCAGTTACCCCATTTTATATAGTTTTAGAGTTGAAGTGAACATGGAGAAATCCTACATGCTATGTGTACTGGAACAAGCCCACAAGTCCCTGCCATTTCCTGAGGGGCTGCAAAAATATCTGACTGGGAAACCATGATTGGGATAACCCCTGTATTTGGGCGCTAGGGTTCCTGTGGCATCGAGAGAGAAATGATATAGCTTATGTCTTATGTGTCTGTGCTAATTTTACAGGGAGACACCAGCAAAAACCGGAAGAAGATGATGACTACAACATGGATGAAAATGAGGCAGAATCTGAAAGAGACAAGCAGGCAGCCCTTGCAGGGAATGACAGAAATGAAAATGGTAATACCTGTGGTGGGCGTGGTGGGGTCACCGTGTTCTGGGTACAGCTGTAAGGATCTACTCTGTGGTCCTTCACTTTTGGAGTGACTCTACAACAAATCCCAACACTGATATTATAAGTGATTCGTCATTTGAAGGAGACTTTGTTTTCTTTGAATGTAGGGGCAGTGGAGGGCAGTGCAGGGCTGAGGCACCTGAGATGATGAGCTCTGCATTTTCAGTTGGGCTCAAGCACTTGGGAATCGGCTGGAGGATTTGCCTTCAGTGACATTTAGGGATTTCCCAGCAAAATGGCCAGGTCACTGCTTGATCACTTTACAGCACCAATCAGAAAGCCCTACTAATATGCACAGAGCTTCCAGGCAGCTCTTTTTTTTTTTTTTTAAGCTGAGTCATCCTGCTACCTATTGGCAGCTTAGCAGCTGCTCAGCTTGGGCCAGACATCGAACAGCTGTTGCTCAGAGCTCAAACTCTTGAGCGAGCTCTTAACCAAGTGAGCCACTCGGCCGGCCCCCAGGCAGCTCTTTAATGGTAGCACTTTGTATTATTATTTTGAACTTTGGAAGAGTCCAGGCCAGTGGGACATCTCAGATTCTGGATTTGTCTGTTTCCTTGTGATTGGATTCAGGTTGGACATTTTTGTAGCTGCAGTTATGTTCCTCTCACCAGGAGGCACGTAATGGCAGGTTGATGGCTTGGTTAAGGTGGTACCCACCAGGTCTCTTCCTTGCAAAAGTCCATTTTCCCTTTGGAATTAATACATCATCTAGAGGGGGATGCATTTTTTTGCTAGTCTTATTAAGATATGGTTGACATACAGCACTGTATAAGTTTAGATTGTATAGCATAATGATTTGACTTACATATTATCATGAAATGATTACCACAGTAAGTTTAGTTAACATCTACTCTCTTTTCCTGAAAATAAGACCTAGCCAGAAAATAAGCCTTCGCATGATTTCAGGTGCCAAAATATGGCAGCTTGGCATACTGAATATTTTAAGTTGAAGGAGTTTGTGGAAAAGGCACCCTTCTCCCTGAAACAGGTCATAAAACTCTCAGGTGAGGGATGCGTGCCCTCCGTATCCTGGAGGAATCATACTATGGCTTATTCTCCGGCCAGGTCTTATTTTTGGGGAAACACGGTATCATCTCACAGAGATACAAAAATATATTTTTTCCTTGTGATGGGAACTCTTAGGATCCACTCTCTCAACAGCTTTCAGGTACATCATACGGCAGTGTTAACCACAGCCGTCGCATTGCACATTCTGTCCCCATAGAGGAGGATGCTCTGAAATGGTGTGACTTGACTATCCATTGAAAACGCTTGTCTAATGGTGGCTTGTCTAATCCTGGTCCCCCTCGTGTATTAGCTGCCATTCTTTTAGGACCACCCCCACCCCAACACACACTCATGCACTCCCATACATACACATACCTGTTTATTATCGCCGTGAACTTATGGTTTCCTTTTTAAAAACCCACTTTTTTATCAGCTGCTTGGTGTGTTTTTTCTCAGTTTTTAAGAGCTCTTTATGTGCTAGAGAGATTGCTCTTGGTCTGTGACATTAAGTTGCAAATACTTTCTCCCACTTTGTCTTGGTTTTGCCTATGGCGTATTTTGTCATGCAGAAGTTTCAAAAATTTTTATGTCTTTTATTGCCTCTGGATATTGAGCCATAGTTAGAAGATTTCCCACCTAGAGTTGGAAGGAATTGAACTGTGTTTTCATTCAGAATGCATACAGAATTTTCTTTTAGTTCTATAATGAAGTAAAACACAGATTCAGAAAACCACAGTTTTTAGAAGGTGATCACCTTGTAACTCCCCGCCCCCCTCCCCCGACCTCCCCCAACTCCAGTCAAGGAGTGGAAATTGGCTGGCTCTCTAGGGGCCCCCTCCCTGTCCCATCCCAGTCCCAGCATCCTCCCTCCACAGTAGTAACCCCTCTCCTGAATTCATGGGGCTCAGCATCTGGCCACCCCCCAGTCCTTGCCATGGCCCTTTGGTCACCTGCTATGGGAGTAGCAGAAACTGTTCCACTTCCAGCTGCAGTTCACCCACTGGCCCAGTTCTTTGGGTGCAAGTATGTTGGTTGTTTGGGGTCCTCCTGATCTCATGTCCATCAGATGCCCTATTGCTTCCCTCTGTTCTCTTTCTGGATGCTGTCCTACAGGTGGCTGTCTGTAGTTTGTCTTTTAACTGCTTGTATGGGGTCTGCAGGATTCCTTGACATCTAGTCTTGTAAATGTCCATGGTTTTCGAGTTTTTTAAATTCAGTTGCTTTATGTAGGGACTCTTGAGATTCAAAAACTGTGCTACTGTTGCCACCATCTTTCCAGAATCCTCTTCTGCTTTCAGATTTTACCTTTCGATCTCTTGATTTATGTCAAATGTATTAAGGCGTATGGCACTAGGAATGGGTCCAATTTTCTTTCTCAGGGGCTGTCATGTCATGTGGTTAAGACATCCCCCCCCACCCCCACCCATCCACATCTAGGCTTTCTTGTTGTCCTATTTGCATTGCAGGTTTATTTCCCATTACCTTTAAACCAAGGCTATGAGCCTTTGGGGTTTCAGCTTTACACAGGGGTCCCCTTCATGACTCTCCATCTTGAGTTGAGCCCGTCTTTAGTTTTGTCCCCCTGCACCTTTGGAAACTGAAGGGAGAAGCCCGGTGCTTCAGGCTTCAGCAGAGGTCCTCAGGGCTTTGACACTCAATTACCTGTTGGTGCTGGTACCTCCAGTTCATTTTTGGACTCACAGGTACCTTCTTATATTGCCATTATAGGCAATGCATTTTTCTTAATATTTTATTAAAATGTTTTTAAACTTTTCATTTTAAAATAATTTAGATTTAAAAAAACTAATAAAAGGCATTTCTATATACCCTTCATCCAGGTTCCCCAAATATGAACATCTTATGTGATCACAGTACAATGATCCAGATGAAGAAATTAATATCGATACAATGCTATTATCTATAGATGTTATTCAAATTTAGTGAATTGTCCAATGAACACCCTTTTCTGATCCAGAATCTAATCCAGGATTGTACACTGCATTTACTGTCATGCCTTTAGTGTCCTTTTTCCTGGACCCATTTGTCTTTAGTATTTGACTGACATTTTTAAGTGTTCTTGTCAGTGATTTGGTAGAAAGTCCCTGTTTGGGTTTGATTCAACAGTGTATTCTTAAAATATATCTTTCATATCTTATCCAGCATGTCAGCTCCTACATTTGGCAGTTTGGGGTTTCTAGAAATGGAATTCGTGACTTCATTTTAAAATTCAGACTATTTAGGTAATGTTTTTGTAAATGCAGAAGATTAACACATTAGTGTCAGAATTTTAAGCATTCTCCATCTTTTTGTTCTTTGTCGACTCCACTCATTTGTATAGTACCTGAAGCCTTGAATAGCATGTTTTCTGATGTGGTTACCATCTTCCATCTCTTTACTATACTTTCACATGAGCCTAGTGTCCTACTAAATGTTTGGCTTTGCAGTGACCTTTCACCCCCCACACTCAGGTGTCCTTCTAAGGATCTGACCTTGTGCAAGGCTTTAAAAAAAGGAGGTAGACAAAGTAGGATAAATGCTGTGTCAGCTCTTTTTTAAGTTACGCTGAAGAGATGTCATTGACATCATTTTAAGTGTGTCACTGAAATAGTTTAAGACCTTGCTTGTTCCAGGGACAGAAGAAAAATGCATTAGCTCCAACTTTATTAGAGAACTTTAAAAGATAGTAGTAATTTAAGGCAGTCATTTAATTAAATAAAATCGTTAACCACTTAATGTGCAGTAGTTGTAAATCAGATATTGGTTTGAGGTCTTACTTATGACATGTCTTTTTATGTCATCCATGTCCAAGGATAGAGTAAGGATGGTGGAAGCCACAATAAGCTTCTGCTCTGTAGAGGAAGTGCTTTGGAGTAACAAGAGCTGACCAGAGCTGGCTCTCAGGAGGCTGTTTGTGCACTAACAGAAGGATTCACACAGCTCACAAGGACTGTGATAGTATAAAAAATCTTCTGAGTATATTTTATATTACCCATTTTATAGGACATGGAGCATTATTTCACTATTTCAAACAATTAGGGAGTTTTCAGATGTTTTAGCTTTGTTTCGTGGCACCCTCTTGGCCATTCATATTGTCTCTTGCTATCTTGTCCTTGGTTAGGAATGAAATTCCCCATTATAATGTTGCTATGGGAGATAAAGTCCTTTTTATGGCAGTTTCTAGATACTTATGTCAATGGGACCTGCCTGGGCTGTTTTCTCAAAATGTTTAATACTAGAATATAATGTGTTTTTTTTCCTTTTCAGTTCTTAATGCTGAAAATCAGAAAAGAGACATGATAAATTTACTTGATGAACGTGAAAAGAGGAATCACACACTCTGAATTAAACTGGAATCACATACTTCGTGTCAGGACTGAACAGAGCTCACTACAAAACAGAGATCACGAAAGATTGAATACTGTGAAATGTACTAAGTAGAATTTTCATCTAAAGATGATCATTGGGGAATTTTAGTATGTACTTTATGTAGGAAAATGAGATTGTCTTTTCGACATTTTTTGGGGGGGTACTTTTGAAGTGTCTATATTAAAGATGTTAAAATGGGTTGTCTAATAGGTATTTCATGAGATGATCAACACCAAAAATAGAACACAAGTTCTCCTTCAAGTATAGTGACGGTGGCACTTCTTAGTCTGGAGTCTAACTTTAAAAGTCCGTCTTCTAACACAGAGGAGCAATCCACTGTACTTAGAGAACTCCTTTTTCCCGGGTTCCTCCTGGAATCATTCTCTTTTCCACATGGTGTGGCGAGTGACGGTAGCAACCTGGTCAGCATGAACGATTATGTTTATTCTTTCGTACGCTCATCTCTCGTTCTGACACTCCAGCAACAGTTTTAAACGAGTCTAAATACAAAGGTGTTTTGTGGGAGAATTTTTAAAAAGACTACTTGTATAATAATCCTTGTCATTAATGTTACGTGACTTGAAACTTCCAACACTTGTGATCTATACTTTCTTTGCTAATATGTGTGGGCAGAGCAAAGTCTTCAGTAATAAGTCCATATTACCAAGGAAAACCACGAGTGGATTAGACTTGACACAACGGGGGCCAGAGGAGGTGACCCCGGGTGCTCACAGCAGAGCACCATGGGGCTAGTTGTAGACAAACTGCCTGTTTCATTAGAGGAAAAGAGAAGATATATCCAGTGTTACAAACAGGGAAGTTTAGAAAGGCAAGAGAAATGTCAAGTGTTTTTATCCTAGTTTACATATTTAGCTTATGATAAACAACTCAAAACTGATTTAAAAATAAAAAGTTAATGTTAATTTGAAAACGACGGATCATAATTTACATCAATAATAGTGACATTAGGTTTGATTTGAGTTGGTTCTTAATATTTCAAGTAAATAGGTCCTTGCCACTTGTGAATGACTGGCAGTCCCACTAGTGACTTTCAGTGAGGCTCTCTAAAGTGTAAGTGGGTGGTGATGCTTCCTAAAATATATTTAGAGTTACAGGGTTTGCGATGCAGGCTTCTCGGGTCATTTGGTAGAACCCCCTTGTTTTCAGAGGAAACGGGGGCCCAGAGAAGTTGTGGAGCTGAAGCCTGGCCGCACACCCAGTGTGGACCTGCTGTGCCCTGGCACCAGTGCAGACAGGACCTGGTTTGCAATCAGGTTCAGATCTCCTACTTGAATGTTCACGTATGATATCCTCTTACCTAATCACTGAGATTAAACTTCCACCCAGAAAAGGCACCTGAAGACAAGTATGAGTAGCTTTATAAGATTTAATCTAAGTCCTTGCCCAACCTCCCTTTTAGTCTTAGGGTTGATATTCTTTGCTTTCTCAAATAATTAAAGCCTCTGGTTCATCTCATGTTTGTTTAATCAGTGTGCATAGAGTTGCTGAGAATGAAATACTCTGCTTAGCTTTTAAAACTGCTTTCAGTTTTTCCTTCATCCCCTATTTGATCCCTAAAGAACCATCTTTTAAACTGCGGAGTGAGAATGGGATAGCAATATAAATAAAAAGCAACCATGATGATTTCATCTTCATTTACAGAGGCATCAAAAGGCCAGTCGTTCAGCAGGTATGTACTTTGAGCTATTTTCCAGGCAGTCATGCTATTACCACTGGCTTCCTTTGAGATCACAGGTACCCATTCCGAGGCAACAATTTAGAGGTAACATGGCTGTTTAAACAAACAAAACAAAATCCTGTGTAATAAGTATCAAGTAGGTACCAAACTGACCTTGGTTGTTTTTGGTGCCATCCAAAGTTACATCAGCAGTTATCCCAATTTTTCATGGGTATAATGCTATTTAATTCACTTCCTCTTTGCTCTCAAATGGCGTATAGACAAGAGTGATGAGTCATTCGATCTTTTCTCCTGCAGATAAGACTGCAGATGAAGGTTCCCTCAGCAACCTTGGACTACAGTATCCTAGTAATCTAATCACAGCACATACTTAATGTATGTGCTTTTGTGTGATGAAACTTGAGAAATAAAGCATTACCTGTTAAGTCAGTATGCTGTCATTAAATAACTAGGTTGATAACTAGCATGATTATTTAATTGCTAATAGCTGGTTATCGATTCAGAGTAGAGCCTAGAGTGGTGGAAGAAAATTGTGAATTCAGGGTCCTTTAAAGCCGAGGGGATCGGTCTACTTCCACTGTGTTTTAGCCTAAAAGATTATTAATTGTAAATAACGATAGTTTATCAGGTACTGAACAACTTCTAATACTTGTGTTTGAAATGAATTTTAGAAAAACATATAAATTTAAAGAGGTTCCATTAACTGGATTACATTTTTTCCACATGGTTAGCTTAGACTTTAAAAATGTTCATTAGTATCAGAAAGTTGGAAAAATAGTTATTTTAATTGCGTAAATGTTTGTATATTTGTGTGCTATTCCTCAGCTAAGAGGACAACACTTTCTTGAACTGTACTAAGCCACTGTTCCTTAAAAACTGGTTTGTAAAATTCTGAAAATGTACACACTGAATGATTACTTAAAGTAGATTATCTTCCCATGCACTTAACTAAACCCCCCAAAACTAAAAGGCTTTTTGTCTTTGCTGGTGTGCATCTCTGGGAAAGTGAAGTGACTTTAATATTTTCATCTTTAAACTAGATATAAACTTCAGATGAGTTTTACAAACCAAGGCCCTAACCAGTTGAGACAAATGCTTGTTTTATATCCTTACTCCTTAGAGTAAAATTATACCTTGTCCTGAGTTGAGTAACATAGACCATACCTTGCTTCTACAACTTACTACTCCAACAGAGATTCTAGTACTGTGATGGGTGCTTGGTAAATATCTGACTGTAAGTCCAAATAAATGATTGTGATTGATCAGAGTTGTGGTCCTAGATAACTTAATTTTCCATATAACTGAAGTTTGCCTTTCGAACCTTTATAAACAGATTCAGGTGAACAGATGCCTTTTGAATGAATGTTAGACACATGGGAATTAGGAATGAAAACCCACTTAGCCTTCGGAAGTAAGCCAGAGTCTGTGCAGGACTCCTGATGTTAGCTTGCTGTTTACTATGTCTCTCTCAAAGCTGCAGTGAAATGACGGTAATGGGACTTCCAGGGTGATGCACCATGTCTGCCTTTCTCCAGAACTCACACGAGTATGTTCATATTTAAGAGTTCCCCTAAATGTTTTAACTCACTCTCCAAAAAAGCTGCTGCCATTAAACATCTTAGTATCATTAAAAGAGTAGTTCTGTGACCTTAACCAGCAGCCAGTTTTTTTCCTATAAAGGACAATCTTGCTCTGGTTTTTTGAGATGGGCTCATTCAAGTTATTCTAGCTGTGATCAGCACCAAGCACCACCCTTTCCGTTAAGCTTGGCTTAATGTTTGAGTTGTAAACAAAAGGTTGCAGGTACTGCATCTGTATCTTTGCAGTTTAGTAATTTAGTTGTATAATAACTTTACATGATCCTCCAAAAGCAGATACATTCTCTTTTTAAATGGAAGGAATGGAAGGCAATATTAGAGGACTACAGGAAAAAGTCTTAGAATGTAACTGAATGCATAGGAGGACAAGTTCAATAACTCAGGTCATTACAGTTCTTCAAAAGCAAACTTTTAAAACACCTTTGGCAGCTGTAGGATGACAAAAATATTCAGTCATCCGAAGTTTTATTTTATGGTTCCTTATTGCAAAAGCAACCAGTGCTGGTTCCCTCCTCTCCTGATGTGCAGGTATTTGATATACCAACTTGTGCTTAGACTGATTTGCAAATATCAGACAAATCAACCAATTTCTTCAGCTGAAGCAAACTGCTCAAGGGCAAGGCCATCAGACTCCAACTTACCACCTCCAACTTCCTCTGCACTTGTAACGTTCAGTTTTGTCACCAGCAACTGTTTCTTCTACTAAAGGTTGCCTGCCTACAGCCCTAGTGGCCTTGTTTTCCCCAGGATGACGTAATGCCATCAGGATGTCTTTTATATCTTAAAAAAAAATCTACATTCTATTTAGTGAGTGAGCAGGTTCTGGAAAGATGAAGTCTCTTTTCTCAAGTTTATACTACAGTTGGGAAGATAGAAACAATTAACTATTTAAATTACAACTAAAAGTGCTAAGTACTTCTAAGGGGCTTGGCCTAAACCTTAATCTGTTAAAAGTGCGAAAGTTACAGTTAAAGGATATTTTTTAAAACATCTATATTCTTACAGGTATATAATTTAGGACGTCATGACACATAAAATCACAACACCCATGTAATTTAGCCTCCCTATCTACGCGTAGCTTAGGGTTCCCCTCAAAAATCCCTTTTAAATGTATTTTGCCAAAATCCCATACAAGTGTTTAATAAATCCCTTGATTTGACACTTCTTTTGGATGATTTGTTTGAATTACTCAAATGTTCAAGACTAAACACCTTCTATTCTTAACATGTATCAACAAAATACTATTGTTTTTCATCTCCAGTAGTGCATTTTTGTCAAGAAATTTATTAATCTTTACAAACACTATTTTCACTCACTCATTCATTAAAAAATGATTTATGATTAAATCTGTAATAAAACCATATAACGTTCATCAATGCATTCCACAAGACCAGTTTCTTCCATGGACATAATAAACCACTTTAAAACAGCAGTTTTCATTCACGTCATGTAAGGCTGTCAAATGAAAAGTGTTCCTTATAATGGGTTGTTATCTAAGAAATTCATTTCACTTCATGTTATGTGGTAAGACTGGATGGATGGATCCTCTAAGAGTAGAATCTGAAAGTAGATTTTACCCTTTTATGATCACCTTTCAGTCTCAAACAAGTTTCACAACAGGAAAATATTTGTGAGCAGAGAAATCAAATTCAGGAGGAACCTGTAAAGAAAATCAGAGTCAATTAATGTAGCTAACAAATATTCAGATGGTAAACAAAGTTTATTTTAGAGTGTCTTGTATTTATTTTATTTATTTATTAATTAGCTGAGCCATCCTGCCACCTGTTGGCAGCTCAGCGGCAGCTCAGCTTGGGCCGGGCATCGAACCACTGTTGCTCAGAGCTCAAACTCTTGAGCGAGCCCTTAGCCAACGAAGCCACTCGGCCAGCCCTTTTCACCACTTTTTTTTTTTTTTAGTTTCTTGTATTTTTAAAGATAAGGCAGGAGCACAAGACAGATCTAAAAAACTAGTTTAATGACAACATTAAATTAGGAACTAACCTGAAGGGGAAAAAATTAGCTTATCTCTGGGTTTATGAAAGTCACTAGAAAACATGCTATCTTCAGAGAATAGTTAACAAAGGAAAACGGACTTAAATTACAGGAAAAGCCATGAATCAGCAGACTCACTGATAGTACTGAGCAGTGAGATGAGAGTCACTGGTAAAGCAGGGCAGGAGAAGACAGAACAACGGGAGTAAACAAATAGAGGTACACAGAATGGGCAAATGCCACCAAAACTGCCTCACAGCTGGCTTCCAACACAACACAACTTATGTGTTTATACAGCACTGATGATATAACAACACTACCAAGGAAGCTTATGCAAACTTCCATCTCCTGAGCCACTGAAAATTACTCAAGCAATTCACTTTTCCAAAGGCAGATGACTTTTTAAATACCTCCCTCTCCCATAAATGTATTTATACACATTTTCTTTTTTACCCCAAGTCATTCAGTAATTTACACAGGGAGGGAGGGGAATGGAAGGGCAGACTTTTGAAATTTTAAGTTAACAAAAATCCATATCTCGGCAAAATTCTAGTTAATTTATTTTCTGCTGCTGAACCTCTTTTTAGGATGATTTTTATGAGTGTTTAAACTTTTTGTAATAAGACTTATACACCTTATTGAAAAAAAGTGAAGTTTTACAATAATTTCAGACCATTTCTTTCCCCACAATGTACTTACCTTAGATTCCTTTTTGTGTCCTCCTGCCAATAACTTCATAACCACAAAGTTGGGTTTGGCAACCTTTAAAATTCTGTTGACCTAAACAATGAGCAACATTAAGATATCAAAACATAAAATTCATAGTCAAAATGTCTTTATATTATAGAAACTAATAGGAACTTTGCACAATATGTGTTGATATTTTATTAAATAAAGACAATTTAAAACTGAACAAATATCATACTTCTTTTAGTAACACAGAATCCGACCTTCAGTCAACTCTGAAAACCTGGAAGGGCTGTTGTATTTTGCCCTCATTAAAACAAAAGGACATTAGCCTGCTAAGTCCTGCGAAGGTAACATGTAGTGTTTGGGGCATGGACTCGAGTTAGCTGTCTGCTTTTCACACTGCAGCTTTGCCACTTGCTGGCTATGAAACCTCTGGCAAGGTCTCTAACCTCTCTGTTCCTCAGTTTCTTCATCTGTAAAAATGGAGATAATTTTACTTACCCCACAAGGATTTGTTGTGAGGATGAGTTCATATATATTTGGAGCTGAGAACCAGGCCCAGCAGGTAGTATCCTTTTCAGCGGTTCTCAACCTTCCTAACGCCGCGACCCCTTAATACAGTTCCTCGTGTTGTGGTGACCCCCAACCATAAAATTATTTTCGTTGCTACTCTATAACGTAATTTTGCTACTGTTATGAATTGTAACGTAAGTATCTTTTTGTTTTCCGATGGTCTTAGGCGACCCCTGTGAAAGGGTCTTTCGACCCCCAAAGGGGTCGCGACCCACAGGTTGAGAACCGCTGCTTTAAGTATTTACTATTGATTATTACTCCTGACTACCGCTTGTCTCAAACGCTTCACCTGAACACATGAATAACACGGGAATGGAATAGTGCATTTCTCTTTTAGATGGGAATAATACGCAGTTTGAAAGAAAAACTTGCCCACTGCCACCTTCTTGCTGACCTCTCTTGGGAAAGTGCATCGCTCTAAGTTCAGGCACTGCTCCTCCTCAGCTCCAGAGCACACATCCACCTGCCTGAATGACAGTTCCCCTTGGGCATCCCAACAGGCATGTCCAAAACTGAGCTCCACCCAGCCCAGCCCTGCCTCCGCACCAGCTCTTGCTCCACCTGCAGTCTTCCCCTCAGGACTCAATCCATCAGGTGCTCAGGCCAAAACCCTTCAAGTCATCTTGAATGCCTCTTTCTTTCACCCCACATCTAATCCATCAATCTACCCTGTTGGCTTGACCTTAAAATACAGAGGGAAAGCGATCACTTCTGATCACCTTCACTGTCGCCACCAACGCTCACCCGGGTTCCTGCCATGGCCTTCTAACAGGTCCCCGTGCTTTCGCTCTTGGCGCCACCACAGTCTATTTTCAGCAAAGTGGTCAGAATGATAGTTTAGAACACAGATCTGGTCACTGCTCAAAACCCTCCAACAGCTCACCCCTTGTTCACTCCATTCCAGCTGTTCTTAGCTGTTCTCAGCTGTTCTTCCAACACTCCAGGCACACTCCGCCTTGGCACCTTTACACATGCCGATCTCACAGCCTACACGGCTCCATCCCGGGATGGTCACGTGACCTTCTCCGTCACCTTCCAGGATTTGCTCTAAGGTCATGTTATTTAAAAATACTTAGTTCCCTCTACTTCCCTATCTCTTGTAGCAGTAACTATCCCCATTCCCAGCTTGATTGTTCTTCATAATACATACTTCCGATCTTCTAATGTACTATTTTATTTTTACTTATTTACTTAACTGTCTGCAACCCACCACTCTCCCTAACCCCGAGGAGGGCTGGGATTTGTCCTTTTTTTCACTGCTGGAATCGACCACAGTGCTGGAGGCACAGTAGGCACTCAGCAAACATTTGTTGCATAAATGAATGAAGTCCACTAAAAGACATATGCCACTTATTATAGGTACCTTCCTCTAATTCTTATACTGCCTTCTTTTAAAATTTTTATTACATGGTTATATGTAATAAAAGTCATCTCTCTCTTGTCCCTGTTCTCACTCAGCTCCCCTCCCAAGAAGCAAACAGTTATTCTTACATATTTTTCTAGAACCAATACTCGCCCCTTTTGATTGAAATGGCATACTATACACCAAGTACCTTGGTTTTTAAACTTCTGTATCCTGAAGAACATTCCATTACAGTACATAACTATCTTCCTTGTCCTTTTAAAGGCTGCACAGTATCCCTTGCATGATGTATAATTCATTTAACAGTCCCCTGTTGATGAACACTAAAGTTTCTTCACTTTTTCTATCAGAAATCCTGCTGCAGTGAATACTCTTGTATATTCATCACTTCCCTCACTTCCCACATGTGCACATGTATCTATAAGAAAAACCCTAAGAAGCAGAACTGCCTGAGCATTTGTGATTTTTGACAGATACTGCTAAACTACCCTTCCATGGAGGCTGTACCAAGATACACTCTCCCAAATGGTCTATGTGTTACAGGTAACTCTCATTTACAGAATAAATGCACTTCAATAAAATTCGGTACACAGCAAATTGTGAAAATGAAAGCCTGAAACTTAGTATTTTATTTTGCAGGTTTTAAGCTCTGTAAAATGGTATCTCAAAGTCATAAAAAAAAATTAACCTTCATTATAAATGGGCAAGTGGATAAGGTAGTTTTTACTTCCTGTGATAATTGATCAGATCATTTTTCAGACTTAAGATTTATATAACTGTATTTTAATATAGTAAACTAGATTAAAGTAAAAAATTTTTAATGTTAACATTTCTAAGCTGTGGATCAATCTGGATCTTATTTCTATTCTTTGTACTTCACGGTTCTAAATCTTAAATTATTTTTGCATTGATTTCTAAATTTACAAAGGAGGTATTTACAGCACCTCTTTCATCAAATAATTTAAAGTCTGACAAGGTTACATTAGCAAAACCATTTGAAATCTTTGCCAGAAACATGACAGGCTTCATTTATTAATACTATAAAGTTCATTTTTATAATTAAACTGTCATCCAGGAGTAAGATATGTACTTCCTGCCAAGCTTTTCTTCTAGAATTACTGTGACTGCAGGCTTACCTCATGGTCTGGGTTTGGGATATTTTCCAATATCATTTTTGCCTGCTGAAAGTGCTTACTAGCTGCCACATACAGTTCTGGAGACTGAGGAGGAGGGCTGTATTTATTGAGGTCAGACATTTCCTAAAAAGGGGGAAATACTATTATTTAAAACATGTTTAACACGAACAACTCTAAAATACCTTTTTAAATTAAAGAATTCTACATTGACTATCCATTCATACGTAACAGTGAAGTAAATACTCAGCATGTCCCCATTTTTTCCTCTGAAATACTAAATTCTCAACCTTCATTCATATACTACCTCATATTCCTGTATACTTAAACAACTATTAACATGAGAATACATGAAAAAAAAAAGCCAAATGATTTTTACACAATTTAAACTAGTATTTTATCACCTTGTCCCACTGGCCCAACAATAGTTTGATTTGACTATTTTAACAAAGTGGCTAGGTACAAACATCTCTAAGGAGATCTAAAGACTAAATATTTTATAATTATTTTAACGAGCAGCTTCACCTTGAACTGCAGATAGTGCACTGGCGGTGGTGTCATTACACTGTTGAAGGGAGCAAATCTGTGCTCATATCGAACTTGTTCGCTATCAAGCTCAAACTTCGGTTTTCGTACTTTGCCATCCATGTCAAATGCTACCATGGTCTAAAGGAAAAAGAATGAGAAAAAAGATGATACCAACATGAAAAAGTGAGAAACCTCATTAATATAGAACAGAAAACAAGAAACAGCTATTTACACACAGCCAAAATAACTTAAGGCTCAGAAATAGGAAGAGAAAAACTGGCTTTACTATTCACTTTTATGTTATGTGCCATCTTTTATACAAAAAGTTCAAGGTCTCGTATTCAGTTATGTTACTATTTTTCCCAGTGAAATTGTACCACATGAACATTATTTTTCCATGCCTCATACTTTATGATAGATTTGAAACCCTCAAGTAAAAGCTTCTGAAAAAACAAGTAGCATATAATTTTATAAGAAAAGCACAGGTCCTGTTTTTCAAACAGGAATCTGTGTTCTATGTATTTAATTTTAAGTTGCCAATTCATTTCTTGAATTGTCAAGCACAACATAAGAGTTAGGAATCACTACATCTCCTTGAAAATTCCCGCTTCCGTTTAAGCCATTCACCGTGGAGCCACATCCTTCTTGATACACTCCTAAAAAATCCAAACCCCATCTCTTCCAAGAAACCTTTCCTGGTTATCAATCAGAAATAAACTTCCCTTTCTTATTACCTGTGTCACACACATGCCACCTGGTCTGTCATTAACTAGGCACTTGAGACAAGCATCACATCAGCTTAGACTTGGTATCCTGCAATGTACTCAGTACAAGGTAGCTATCACACAACCTATGTTCAAATATTTGTTAAGCAAATTAATGAAAACAACTAGACTGAAAAAATGCAATTTCAAGCAAATGGTCAGTAAAAACAAAGTTGAAATTAGAACCCGGAAAAAAAAAATCACAGAAAACAGTCATTTTAATTAAACTATATAATAGCAATGTAGTTAAAAAGCACAAAGAACATCATTTCAACAACTTACCTTGAACATCCCAGCACACATGTTCTGATATGCCTGGCTCATTGTGATCTCACGGCTCAGTGGGCGAACTGTAATAAGAAAGAAAATCACCCATACTTTTCCCCCTCTCTTCTTGCATTATTGCAGAAGAAAATCTAATTTTAAAGAAATCCTCCACCTTGTTTACTAAATTAAAATTTTAAACAGTTTGTTCCTACAGGTTAAATTTTATGGCCCAAATCTACAAATAATAAAATGTAACTTAAAGGCTAAACAACAATCATGTTCCCCAGATATCTAATACCATAAAATTCTAGTATGAAGTAATTTAAATTCTGAATTCATCATACAGACTTCTTACACAGGAAACCCATGGAGGGTCATTTAAGAGTCCACCCAAACTGTTGAAATCCTAAGGAAAACCCAGGTAGTATTTTGTAATGATTGCAGCAGTATCTGTTCCCTTCCAGGAGTGATCAATAGGGCAGTCTCCCTGAAATACTTTCTCCTCATGGTTCCTGGGTGGTGTGCCAAGGGCTATAATCATCTTTCTGTGCTGACTACACCAGCACAGTTCCAGATCTACTCCCCTCCTGAGCTGTCAGACTCTGTCAAAAGATTAAAGGTCTCCTGCTGTCTGGTCCTTAATCTATCTTGCTTACACTCTCCATGTGGCTACTTCTTTGTGTCCTGAGGTCCTCTGACACATGAAATTGCAAAGAAGTAAAAGAAAAGCAAGGAAAGGAACCAAAAAGGCTTGTATCACTAATATTGGGACTCAGTTTCTACCTTATATTTTCTGAAGAGAAGATGGGTGAGAATTAAAATATGACTATTTCACCCATTACAAGGCAGAGGTACTCTCCATCTATTTATTTGTAGAAATTAAAGTGTACTCCAAAGATATTTATTTCTTAAGTTTAAAAGTAATCCTCAGCACCTTTCTTCTTTTTCTTTGTCTTTTTACTGCTCCGCCCTTTCTGCTGCTCTTCCATTATCCTTTCCTCTGCCATTTGAGAGCCATCGGCACGACTTAATGTCGACATCAACCATGCATAAAGGAATTCAGAGAGATACCTTAAAGGATAAAAAATATTAGTTAACAGTAGATGTCTAAATGAGGTAATTTTAGCAAAACACATTGGTACTAATAAAGAGATATTTTTCATAATGCTATGAAGTCTTTAAAAAAACAGATCATCCGGGCCAGCCGGGTGGCTCAGTTGGTTAAGAGTTGGCTTGGGACGCCAGCTCTGAGCAGCAGGGCCCCGGTTTAGATCCCACATTAGGGCCAGTGACATTGTGCCCTCTACAACTAAAATAGCTCAACCTGGAGCTGGGCTGCCATGAGTTGCTGGCTACGGCAGAGGCTGCAGTGGAGCTGCAGTGGGCTGCCGTAAAGCTACCGTGAGCAACTGGCAGCCAGTGTGAGCTGCCGTGAGCCGCCGTGAGCAGCCAGGATGGCCTGGGAGCAACTGCCTCACCTGGGAAGAGCACAATGATACCAACATGGGCCAGTGAAGCAAGGTCCTCCACAACTAGACTGAAGAACAAAAGGACAGCAACTTGTCTGTTCCGCTTCCCAGATTCCCCAACTGTTCCCCTCCCCCAAATCCCCAATAAAATCTTTAAAAACAAACAAACAAAAAAACCAGATCATCCAATTAGATAAATGATAGATCTTATAAGAAATGGGCATCAGAACTGATTAACTTCCCCTTTCTTGTAGCATATGTTGCCATACAGTACTGAAAAGTTTAATTTCCTACAACGACATGCATTTTACAACTTTACAAAAGATTTCTTTAATGATATATACATGTAAATGGAACGAATACCCATTACATTGGTTTCACTGTATCAGGATACATTTCACCTCAACCTGTAAGTACATATTTTATTTTCTTGTTAATTACAAAAGAAAGCAAATAAATCCAAATCAAGAGCACAAAAGCTTCCAATCAGCTGCCTCAAACCACAAAGGGAAAACTTGAACATTTTCCCCTATAAACTGTCATCTTTGAATAGGAGTGTCTACTATGAGTTTACAAAATGTATCATAAGTACCTATATCAAGACATGTTGGTAAGAGATTTGTTATCTATATAAATGTTGGAGAATATACCAAATAATATTTTTCTCATATTACTACAGTTGATGCTGAAATTCAATTTTCATAGCCACGATTTATCTGTTATGAGTCCTAGCAGCCATCATAACAAAACCATGTCAACAGCGTGGAAGAGAATTACTTTCCTTCCTTCATAGCAGGTACTCCAAGGAATATGCAGTATCTTAATTACTCATATAAATAATTGAAATGAGTTAAAAAGATGAACTATATTAAGATCGAATATACTAAACTTAATTGTTTGTGATGAGCAATAGGTCATTATTATTTTCAAATTACCACTACTTTGCCAGACTAAGAAAAAGATTCAGGACAACTGAATTCATTAGTTCACAATTTCTTAATTTATCTTCTTTCTATGACAGCTTCCATGCCGAAAATATTCTCAAGCATCTGCATGCTATGTTTCGTTATCTCATCTCCAAGTGAAAACAAAGAACTACTTTGCTGAGGATCATCTCTTATCAACTTTAAAGCTCCTGAAACAAATCCTCAGGACCAGTTTGTAATCATTGCCATGATTTCTTCTCAGAGGAAAGATCTGGTTCAAATTTTGAATTTTAATTCAGTTAAGTACATTACACAGCTAGTATCTGGCACCACTGAAGCTAGGGAAAAATGTGAATTTTCTCCCTAGAAACAGAGAAGAGCTCTTCAATTAATCCATTTACCTTGGAGCCACTTTTATTACTAATTTTAAAATAAATATTCAATGGCTAAAAAAAAATACACTTGTATGGTGTTATGTTATGGTGCTTAAAGATGTTCAAGATGGTCTAGCTCTAACTTTTAACAGATATTTTTCAACTGTCCCACAACTAAAGTTAAAATACACTAAATGAAAAAAGTACCCTAAAATTATACTCTACAGATGCTCTCCCAGATCTTTTCTACCCCACCCACTACCAATTTCAACTCAAATTGTTCTCTTACCAATATATGTAGTAGTATTCATGCATGCTGTAGAGTTCCAATTCAAAGCCACTTAGAAGATACTGTATCATAATTCGAAGATTATGGTAAAGGACCCAGGTACCTAAACAGGCCAAATGTTGCCTCTGGGGTTCCTGTTTCAACAGCATAGTGTGAAGGGCTGCATCAACCTTTTCTGCCTATCAGAATAAAATATCATAACATTTACTTTCTTTTTTAGGTAATGAGAGATTTAAAAAAAAATAAACAGCTAAAAATAGCATTAGCAGAAAATACAAATCTCACCACTTAAAGAACTCATACTTTAAAATGCAATTTTGATTAGGTTTACATCCAAATTTCTCATTTCACAATGGATAACATTTAGCTAAACACTCTTTAAACTAAAAAGACGTCTAATTTATAGGACAAAAATACAAATAATTGACTTCAGGTCTTTAGTTATATTATCAATTAATATCACTAATCATTATACATTTGCTTTAAGATTAATATATTTTTATTATAATATGAACTTGCTATAAAACTATAGTTCTAAACATTTTATAACTTATCCTGATTATTAAATAATTTAAGATGTCTCTCAGTTTGGATTATTCTATTTCTGTAAACTTGCACATGGTATATGAAACTATTACATTGTAAGTGAAAAGAAAATTCACCATACTGAAACATATTCAAAATATTGTTCCAAAGAGTTGTTTTTAAAAACCTGGTCAAGGTACATGAATTGCCTAACAGTAGAAGGGAGGGCAACCTGTTGGCTCTTACCTCATCTTGCAAGGTAGCAAATTCCTCAAGAATATGACCAAGCTTATCTCTCTGCCGAGCCCTATTATGTCCATGGATCTGAATAAGACTACAGAACGGCTGCAATACAAATACAGTTTAACTGTCAATATGAAATGTACTGATACTAAAAATTAACATTCCAAGTTTCTAAAATCTGGCTTAAGGAAAAAATTGCTGTGTATATAAGAATCATGCCTATGTACATTTTCTTCATAGGTGTTTGTGTTTAAGGGAACTCAACACCAGTATTTACCAATAGCTACAAGAGAGTGGCTGTTTATGAAACTTGTTTCATATAGCAAAAATATCTCCCTCGATCTTTAGGTATTTCCAGAATTTCAAGAGGACAGTTTCTTTTCTGCTTATTTCAAGCCAAAAGGCAATGCTGAAGGCTGACATATCTGTGCTGTTTAAATATACCAGAATGCCTAATAATTATAAGGCTTGAGTAATGGCTGATACCCATAAACTCTAACGTTCTTCTATTCCCACTCTTAACAATACAGCATTCTCATAAAGAATACTGTAACATTTCACTAATTAAACAACAGACATGGACAGCAGGATGCTCTGATTTAAGAAGTATGAATTATAAGATTCAAGTATAATATTGTTTTATATTAATAATTGTATACTTTGACAGATATCTCATTGGATCAATAACTAGCCTATCCTTTTAAGAGGTATAGAGGCGGCATTAACATTTCATTTTTTAAAGATTCAGAAATTTATAGAAAAGTGATCTATCTGATAATGATAATATTATATTAGTGATAAAAATGAAATCTGGTCTTTTATTGATTCTCCTTTCACCATGCCATGCTGCCTACATACATACATATATTTAGTTACTGGAATTAAACTCCAAAGAACTCTCTATAAAGAGCTTATATTAAACAGGAAATGACTTACAACTAACTTAATGCACCACAAAGTTAGTATTTTTTCATAATTACTTGAGACTTGGAAAAAGACTGTGATCTCATCTAAATTAATAATTTTACTATAATCCTGTTCATTAAGGTCATACAAAGATAAGTGCCTGGGGATGTTACAAATATTCCGTGTATATAAAGTAAAAAATAAATAAAATTTTTGTGTCCATTTATTAAAAAAAAAAGTCAACAACCGCTGTTTTCCCAGATGGGGGTCATAACTTATCCTGTTTCTGTGATTCCTCAGGGTTACAGTGAGGGGCATCAAAAAAGTGCCTCTGTATCTGACAACCTGCCAAGAAGACTATGGGTTATTGAAGATGTCCATGTGAATATAAGAAGGAAACTTCCTATTTATTCAATGAAAATGAATAAGATACATTAGATAGAAAAACAGCACCAATGAATGCTACTGAAGCAACTGCACCCCATACTTTTTAAAGTATCTTTGACAATGATCCAACTGTAGCTCTTACCCGAACACAGTGAGTAACAAAGGAGTCAATACAATCCTTGGCCTGGTGATTATTATATAGGCAGCACCTGTAAGATAATATTCATGTCATTAAAATCAAACAATTTAGCCTACAAAAAAAAGCAGTGATTACTCTAGGTCAGCAGTTCTCAACCTGTGGGTCGCGACCCCTTTGGGGGTCGAACGACCCTTTCACAGGGATCGCCGGGTACTCGTATGTGGGTGTATCTGCATGTGGGTCTGGAGACAGATAGAGGAGCCGTGTCTCGGTTCCTAAGACCATCGAAAATATGTGTTTTCCGATGGTCTTAGGCGACCCCTGTGAAAGGTTGAGAACCGCTGCTCTAGGTGCTACCAACAGATAAGGATGGTGGAAAAAAGAGAAAATGGAACCAAATGCATTGCTAAATTGAAGACTAATAGTACTAGATTAAGAAATATTTCACAACTACTGTGTTATTTACAGTAAATGTGCATTATTTCCGATTCCTTTAGTTCTATATTTGGAAAATTAGAGTTGGATCGAATAAGATCTAATTAACAAGGAGAGAAGTAAAATCCCAAAGCCCCATATTTTCCTGACCCTACTCCAAAGTCATTTATTTTTCTACAACTGATATCCTCATGGAACATGCTCATAATAGTAATTACAAAGCAAGTACTATACAGAATCCTAATTTCAAGACATATCCACATTTTCAACACTGGCCAAAATGACCATCTATCTACATCCCTCTAGCGCCTCATCCTCTATCCTCACCAAGAGGTTTCCCTGTGGTATTCCTTATCTCAGTTCAAAGCGTCATTTTGTGACTAAAGACACTTGGTAAACCAATGTTTGCTAGGCTGTCTTTAACAATGGGACACAGAGAGAACTCTGATCCTATGCGCCTTGCTGGTTCCTCCCTGAGCAGTCTGGAAGGATCTGCTACGTTCCTGGCTCTAGAGGAACTTCAGGGACTGAACAGATGGGAGATACTCTTTTTCCATCCCTGAGATGGGAGGTCAGTGACCTTTGCACCTAAGGAGATGGGAAGAAGCAAAGACATTCTCCTGATTCACTGGAAGGAGCTGACAACTTGCTCCTCGTAAGTGTTTACATAACTGAGTAGTCTGACCAGAGCCTCAAAAATAATGAGAGCCATGATCATGCAATGGAAAATTATAGTTCATGCAGGAGCTAGGAGAAAGAAAAGGCAGAACACCTGGAACAGGTGGAGGCAAAATAGAAGTACTGGAAGGTCCATTACTTCTTTAACTCCACAGTAAGAAAATTACCTAAGGAAACTAAAATAAAGCATTTGTTTTTCCATCTCCATGTGAACTGACTTCCTCCCCTCTGAAGTTCCAAACCACGACCTCCTTTTGTCCTTCAGACCAAAATGGCACCTAAGCCTCAACAGCCCGATTTCTAAGGCCCCATATTCTGAAGAAACCCCTGTGCATACATATGTAGTTAAGTTTGGTTATTATTTTCTCCTGTTAACCTATCTTACGTCATTTTAATAATTCAACCAGCCAGAAGAACTAAGAGGGGAAAGGAAAAAATTTCTCCTCCACACTGGAAATTCAGATATGCCAAAGAGAAGCTGTGAAAAGTGCTGCATTTAAGTGAAAAGGTATGTATATAGAGGAAAAAACATAGTATATATATATATATAGGGTGTGGTACTATCCACGGTTTTAGGCATCCACTGGGGGTCCTGGAAGGTATCCCTCATTAATAAGGGGACTACTATAAACAGCTTCTCGGTTTTTTTTTTAAAAGCAACTTAGTTACTTACCTTCTTCTCCCTTTCCTTTCCCTATTCAATCAATTGTCACATCCTATTAATTTTACTCCTGAAATCTGTATTCTCCTTTATATTCCCAGAGTTTAATCCTTCCTCATCTCTCACTTGTACCACTGCATCAGCCTAGCTAAACACTTTGCCTCTAGTATCACTACTGGTTTGCTTCCTATTAAAAAACACATACTCTACTAATTCCTTCCTAAAAACTTACAGTAGTTCCTGACGAACCATAAAACAATGAGAGAAAGATATGTAGTGCTGGGCCCAGGGGCAGGGAGACGGGGGAGGTTTGTCCTTTTTAAAAACAGACCAACCAGGGTAGCCCTCATGAGGTGACACTGAATGGATTTGAAGGTAGTGAGGGAGCCAGCCCTGGGAATTCTTGAGGAAAGCGCCCTCCACCCCCAGCCCTGTGTAAGGGCGGTGGGAGAGGGCCTGTATGTTCCCGGAATAGCAAGGCGGCCAGCGTGGCTGAAACAAAGTAAGTGAGGGGCAGCACCAAGAGACGAGGCACCAGGACAGGGGTCTAGACCAGGGCATATGCGGCCTCAAAGACTCAATTACAAGTCTGGCTTTTACAGTGAACGAAACGGCAAATATTAACCACCACAAGGATGCTTGGGAATCGACTTCCTCCCAGTTAAGGGGCAGTCCTTAACTGACAGGAGTGTGGGTGAACTCACAAGCTCCCTTGTCCCTGACTAGGACAACTCTGACGTGTAACCCACAGTGTGTGCAGAGCTCCCAGCAGGACCAAACCAGGGCTACTCTCCGGGGAGCATACACCTGTGTGGCTTTCTTCCTTTCCATTTCCCACATTCCCACAACTCTACTGGTTTTTCCTGGGAACACTTGAACATAATTACATTTACACGAATCTTTGTCTTCAGAGGAACCCAACCTAAGAAAGGAAGCTACCCGAGAGTTCCATGTGAGATGTGGCATGATTTAACAAACTGAATGCTGAACCGCTGTTTTTATAATACATAATCTCATACATCCAGTCTTCACATGTACTCAGAGAAATGACTCTTTTTGTTCCTCCCCATTGGAAAAGCGCTCCTTATTTTCTAAAATGCCAACTCAAATGACGATTCTTTCTGCTTGAAATACTTTCCGGCCTCTTATGGTAGCATGTTTTTGGGGAAGTGACTCTACCAGAACATAATTTAAGAAGCAATTGTCTGCACTTTCTATTTCTATCTAGACTCCACTGAGAAGAGACTTTATCTTGTTTTTTACAATTACTTCCTAAAGTGCCTACCTAACGCAGTGCTTTGCACACAGTATCAATACAACTTACTGAATTTCTGATAACTCCTTGCAAGCTTTTCTTCTCATATTGGACCTAATGTCAACCTCACAAAAACCTCAGTTTAAATCTAAACAATACGTGGCAGAAATCAATTAATTTTAACATGATTGAGTTAGCTTTTTATATGGAGGCTTGATTCCAACACTTTTTGTGCCTTAGTTATAAAGGAGGAGAGAGACTTTGGGCTTTAAAAAACGTACATGCTATAGAATGTTTTATGATACTTACTTTGGGGAAAGCACCGGAGGACTGACAAAAGACCGAAGTGCATCTTTCACCATGTCTTGCATGAGATGAGTTCCAAAGACCTTTTTGTTATCCACCAGGAAAGTGGTCTTAAAACAAATGTTATATATTAGTAATGCTGTCACAGTCTTGACATACTATACATATAGTTGCCATACTGTGACATGAGCATACTTCTCATATATACCACAGAATACAAGAGATTACAATATACAAAGTTGGTGAAAAATGTTGATAAATAACTGCCTCCACAATGGATATTACTAATTCCTATTTAAGGTGTATTCTGATGCAGAAGGAAAAAAAATGTGCAGAAAAAAAAATCTCCTAAGAGTATTAACATTGAACTAGTCAAAATGAACTGACTAGTCTAAATATGTCAAATGAAGTGCTATATAAGAAAGGACTTCATAAATTATGAAATATTAAGTGGCTATAAATATTAAACTAGTCAATAATCTATCTCTAATGAACACTTTGGAATTGATAATCTTTCCAAAATTGGGGTAAAATGATTAATACATTAAATTAAAATAAATAATTTGCATTTATTGTTCTCCCTTTGACAACCTAAGTGTATTTTAATACTTGCTATATTACACCTTACTTGATTTCCTAACACCTCTGGGTTGTTTCCAGTTTTTGGTGATCATGAACCAAACAGCTATAAATATTTGCATACAGGTTTCCAGGAGAACATCAGATTCCACTTCTCCTGATTAAACAGGTAGGAGTGGGATTTGTAGCTTTAATTTTATAAGAATCTGCCAAGTTGTTTTCCAAAGTGGCTGTAGCACTTTACATTCCCATCAGTATTGCATCCTCACAACCACTTGGTATTCTGTTCTTTCTTTCCTGTTTTCAAAAGATATTCTGAAAGGTGGATAGTGGTTATTTCATTGTGGTTTTAATTTGCATTTCCCTAATACTAATGATATTGAATATCTTTTTTTTATTTTGAAGTATTTATTTATTTATTTATTTTTAGCTGAGCCATCCTGCCACCTGTTGGCAGCTCAGCAGCAGTTCAGCTCGGGCCAGGAATTGAACTGGTGACCCTGTTGCTCAGAGCTGGCACTCTTAACCAACTGAGCCACCCGGCTGGCACCTTGAATATCTTTTCATATTGAAATGTTCAAATTTTTTGACCTTAAGAATTGGGTTGTTTTTTATTGTTATGTTGATAGATTTCTTTATACGTTCTAGATTCAAGTCCTTCATGAGACATGATTTGCAAATATTTTCTCACACTACAGTCTCATTTTCTTAACAGTGCCTTCTACAGATTTAGTTTTAAATTTATCAGTTTTTCTTTTTAAAGGGTTGTGCTTTTGATGTTACACCTAAGAATTCCCTGCCTTCTCCAAAGCCACAAGATTTTCTCCTTTCTTCTAAAAGTTTTATAGTTTCACATTTTGGGTTTATTCTGAGTCAGGTTTTTTATTTTATTTTTTTGGCATATGCCTATCCAACAGTTATTGTATCATCTGTTGAAAAGACTATCATTTCTCCATTAATTTGCCTTTTTGCTTTGTCAAAAATTGACCATATTAATTATTGATCATTTGACCACATTAGTCAATTAATAAAGGACTACATAACATGGTACTATATAATAAAGGACTAATTAAAGAATAGGACTTCTCTGGACTTTCCCCTTGGTTCCACTGATACATGTTTCCATTATTTTGCCAATACCACATCTGCCTTATAGTCAGGTAGTATAAGTTCCCAACTTTGTCCCCCCCCCAAAAAAAATTGTTTTGGCTGTTCTAGTTCCTTCTCCTTTCCACATGAATTTTAGAATCAGCTTGTTGACATCAAATCCTGCTATGATTTTGATTGAGATTGTTTTGAATCTATAGATCAATTTTGGGGAGAATTGAAAATATCAATTCTTCCAATCCATGAACAAATTGTATCTGTCCATTTATTTAGGTCTAAGATTTCATCAGTACTTTGCAGTTTTTCAGCACACAGGTCCTGCGAACAGGTGTTATTTATATCTCAGCATTTCATATTTCTTATATTATTGTAAATAGTTTTAAAATTTCTGATTTCCCATTGTTCAAGTACACAGAAATATAGTTGCTTTTTGTACATTGGACTCATATCCTGAGATCTTATTAAACTCATCCATAAGGTCTAGAAACTTCTTTGTAGATTCCTTGGCACTCTACATAGAAAATCATGTTGTTTGTAAATAGAAAATATTCCTTCTTTTATTCTCAACTGTATGCTTTTTATTTCTTTTTCCTGCCTTTTAGCACTGGCTAAGATTTCCAGTACTGTGTTGAGCAAGAGTGGAGTGATGAGAGTGGACATCCTTGCCTTCCTCCAAATCTTAGGAGAAAAGGATTTAATCTTTCATCATTAAGCATGATGTTGGCTGTAGGTTATTCATACATGCCTTTACCAGGATAGGTAAGTTCTCTTCTATTCCTAGTCTTGCTGAGTTTATAAATCACCAATGGCTGTTGAATATGATCAAATGTTTTCCCTGAATTTATTGAGACTTTAGATTGTATGATGAATTACACTGAATGATTTTCAAATGTTGAACCAGTTTTAAATTCCTGGGATAAAACACACTTGGGTCATGATTTTTAAAAAATACATTGCTGGGTTCTATCTGAATAAAATTTTTGTACCTATGTTCATAAGGGATATTGGTCCATTGTTTTCTATGCTTGTAATGGCTTTGGTTTTGCTGTTGAGGTAATGTAGGCCTCATATAAGTGTTCTTGCCTCTATTTTCTGGAAGATACTGTGTAGATATAGCCTGGAGTTTTCTTTGTTGGAAGGTTTTCAACTATGAATTCAATTTCTTTAATAGATATAGGATTAGTCAAGTTATCTATTTCTTCTTGAGTGAGTTTTATAGTGTCCTTCAAGGAACTGGTCTATTGTATCTAAGTTTTTGAATTTATGAACAGAGTTGTTTATAATATTCCCATATTATCCTTTTAATGTGTGTAAGGTCTGTAGTGATATCTCATCTTTCATTCCTGATATTATTCATTTGTATCTTCTCTCTTTTTTTTCTTGTTCTGTTGGGTAAGAGGTTCATCAATTTCAAAGAACTGGCTTTTGGTTGCATTGATTTTCTTTATTGTTTATGTTTCCTGTTTTACTAATTTCTGCTTTTATTTTTGTTATTTCCTTCCTTCTCCTTGCTTTGAATTTAATTTGCTCTTCTTTTTCTGGAGTTTTAAAGTAGAAACTTAAATTATTAATTTCAGATCTCTTTTTTTCATATAAACATTTAATGCTATAAATTTCCCTTTAAGCACTGTTTTAACTATATCCCACAGATTTTGATGCTATATTTTCATTTTCAAGACTTCCTCTTTGATCCATGCATTGTTTAGAAATGTGTTAACTCACTAATATGTGGAGAATTTTCCAGTTATCTTTCTGTTATTGATTACTAGTTTAATTCTGAAATAGAGTGCATACTTTGTATGATTTCAATTGTTTTAAAATTAAGGTTTGTTTTATGGCCCAGGATATGATCTTAATGAATGTCTAACAATCATAGTCAATACTTCTATTAAAATATAACATTAACTGTGGAATATCCTTTAAAAGTATCTACCTTTTGCTCCCTCAATCAATAAAACAGTGTCAACAGACATATAATTTGATGTTTAAAGAAGTATTTTCAATACTTAGTGGAACTTACTTGTAATAGAGATCTTGAAAGAACACAAGGTGATTGTTCACTAAACTCACAGAAAAAATCCTAAGAGATACATAGAGAAAAAGTAATGTCATTAATAGATTAAATGAAAGCTGAAAACGTTTGCATATGGACTGTAATTTTTACTAGACCTTCCGGGAATAATATACTACCAGAGTTAGAATATGACAAATAGCTAAAGATCATTTCTACAAGCATTGTCTAATTGTATCAATGGGACAACAGATAATTTTAGAGCCTAAATTTTATTTTTAAACAAACTGATCAATAATAGTATTGTGTGAATACTCATGTTAAATCTGTACCGTGTGAAAATAATACTATCAATAATAATTTACTAACAAATGTAAGGTTTACTTCCTACTTCACAGAAATACCAAGTAACCAATTTGATTTATATTACCAACTGTTCCTGACTCTAGGGAAAAGACCAAAAGATAGCTCAGAAAACTATACATGGGTTTATACACAGAAAGGAAAAAAAGATAAGAAAATACACTGAAATGTTCACATCTGTAGATTGTAGGTTAGTAGTTAGCATCTTCATATTTTTCTGCATTTTCCAAATTTTATAATTAAGTAAAAATGTATATATATTGATATTTTAAAATTAAGGGTAGGAATATGGCTTGGATACCTATGGCATTGCTATAGGCTGGCAGTGAGAATAAAATATGTAGACCCTACAGCTTCCTCTCCTGGAAAACAGAGACGGTTGTTGCCTAGGTGACTATCACTGTGAAAAACCTCCCTAGACAATTACAGGCAGCACTTTCCCCCACTGAGCCCTCTACTGTAGCCTAAGGATTCCCCTCAGTACTGTGTTCATCAATGACTCAGAGCTGGTATTCAAGATGAACCTCTCTGACACCCAACTCTGTCCAAGAAAGGCAGTATTACTGCTGGACTTGGACAAACCCTGGTCTTTTAATTATGTGACATTCCTAAAAGGAGGGGATGAAAGTGGGAGGGGAAGATGAAGGAGGGAGAACGGGAGTGGAAAGCAGCGGTGGGGACATGGCGTGAGGGGGGCGGTGAGGAACAAGGGGAGAAAAGATGTTTTTCAAAGGCTGTTAAAAGATGCTCGTTTAAGCCTCACCTACTTTTTAAAAAGGTTTTCTTTTCCTGCTTTAACTGTTATCCCTTCTCATGACCCTTGATGTTTCTTCATCATTTTGAATAGCCATGAACCGTGTTTTAAATCCTCTCCTCTTTTAGAAGAGACAAACCTTGTACTTTTCAGTTACATTTACTATCATTATGACCATTCATTCTTGCTCCTTTATTGGCTCTTCTTTATCCCAAATTTGAAGTATGAATAGCCATCTATTTCTTTCTACACTTACTGCCCAGACTCGTGATCCACAATTTAAATGGGTGCTCTACCAAAATCTACCAAGTTTCGCTAGTCAATTCACTATCTTTTCTCACAATTCATTTTTACACCTTGCACACAGTGCTTCAAGCAAATATTCTCCATCAGAGAGATGTCCTTCCATTCTACATTACAGAGAAAACTAAAACTCATCTACCCAACAGGAAATTCCTCAACTTCAGTCTCTCTACCTGTTGTGCCCATGTCTGTACCAGACCCTTTCCTTGCCTGATTTAACCATGGAAGTCCTCCACTTGTACGAAGGACTCCATTCCTCCCAGCTTTCTCAGGAACATTATATACTGTCAATTAACCATCCTTTGCTACCCTAGATATTAAAGTTTTCCCTTTCTACCAGATGGTTCCCATTTACATTTAAAGTCAAGTTTCTCCCATTTTTAAAAAGAAAAGAAAAAAAAGACAGTCCCATGATCTCCCATTTCCTTCCTTCTCACCTGCTGCCTCCTAAGCCAAACTTTCTAAAGGAGTTGGCTGCACCCACTGTCTCTATTTAACTCAACGCCCGCTCATCTTCACCGCAAGCTCTGTGGCTCTTTTGTTCTAGTCACCATAATCCCCCATCACTAAATCCAGTGGACACTTGTTTGGACCTTATTTCTCTTTCATTTGATTTCTCACAGTAGCATCTGACATGACTCCTTCTTGAAAAACCTTTTAACTGACTTTCATGAGTTGCTTCCTCTTTGGCCACTTCTCAATCTGCCCTGTAGTTTCTAGACTACCTTCCTTTCTTAATCTATATACTTTTTTCCTTGTAATTTTATCTATACAAATGCTTCAATTACTATCTATACTGTAATAATTCCAAAATTATAACTCTAGCACAGAACTCTAAACTCTATGCATATAGCCAATATCTATTCAATAGTCTACTTAAATATTTCAAATGTACCTCAAATTCTACTTCACTAAGACTCTCATTTGACTATCAAAAATCGCCTTTGAGAATTTCCCCATTTCAATGAACAATGCCAAATTTGCAAGTTAGAAGCCTGGAAACCTTCTAGAGAGCTCTGTCATGCCCCATATTTGGTTCACCATCAACATTCTATCATTTTTAGTTCACACATAGCTCTAATACATCATCTCCCTGCCATCGTTCTAGTCCAAGTTACCATCTCCTCTCCCTTGGACTTTAGTAATGATTTCCTAATTTGTTCCCTGTGTTTATTCTGGTCCCCTTCCAATCTTCTCACCATAAGGCAGCCACATCTATGTAAATTCTTAATCCAATTTTGCCACCACTCCACCCATACTAATCTTGCATAAAACTCTAATGGTTTTCCCTTGCTCTATGATAAAAACCAAAATCTTTAATGTGGCTTACATGGATCTGCCTCACCAAATCCCCCACCCCCATCACAGTATGCCCGACTCTGATACTTTTCTCTCTCAACTATATCATGGAGGAGCATTCAGCTTCCTTCCTCTAAAACTGCCCCCCACCCTCCATCCTAATCAATGTCTATCTAATCTTCAAAGCTTAGCTTTACCTCTACTTTCTTAAGAAAGACTTTTTTGATCATCTAGGTCAGTTCCTTCATTATATGTTACATGTACAAGTTCCTTTCCTTCATATCACTTACTTTGGTTTATAATTCTATAATCATTTTTATCTCACACTACACTGTAAGCCCCATGACAACATGGATAAGCTTTTGCTCATCATTGGATACTTGCCATAGCACAGTGCCTAGCATAAAAAAAACACTCAGAGGGCCGGCCAAGTGGCGCGATGGTTAAGAACTGGCTTGGGACACCAAAGGGCCCCGGTTCGGATCTCACATATGAGGGCCAGTGACACTGCCCTCTACAGCTAAGATGCTGAACAACAGCTCGACCTGGAGCTGGGCTGCCCGTGAGTCGCCGGTGACGGCATAGGCTGCAGCCCCTGTGGCAGTGGGTTGCCATGGGCTACCGTATGTAGCCAGCAGCCAGCGTGAGCGGCCAGCAGCCGCCATGAGCAGCTTCCAGAAGCCGGCGACTGATCTGCCTCGCCCAGGAAGAGCGCAATGATGATGCCAACTTGGGCCAGTGAAGCAACATCCTCCACAACTAGACTGAAGAACAAAACAACAGCAACTTGTCTGTTCCCCTTCCCCCAATCCCCCAGTACTGTTCCCATCCCAATTCCCCAATAAAAATCTTTAAAAACAAAACAAAACACTCAGATGTTGGCTGAATCGATGAATGTATGTATACTCACTCTCAGTTTGTGCTCCACTTCTCATTACTAGTACGCATCGCTAACAGAATTTCTATAAAATCTATTTACCTCTTCTAAACTAGGTATCTTCCTAATTACTCTATAGCTGTCAAATGTGTCATCTTCTGGGTTCCTAATCTACAAGTTTCCCTTCACTAATTTCTCTACCTTCCCACTTACCATTATGGGTTTTTCCCTATATGCAAAATACCAAAAACTTTGAAAATGCAGAAAAATGCAAGGAAGAAACTATCATCCAGCATTCCACCTCTAGACAACGTCTTAATGTTTTGGTATTTGTTTGTCAAGCTTTTTAAAAATTGAATTTGGCTCTGTCTCTGACAATTTTTTCTGTATGCAACAATATATAAATGGATAATATATTTTTAAATATAACTTGACATTTACAAATACTTTCCCATGTCAATATTTTTCTATAACATACTCTTAATGGCTATTTGACACATACCATAGAATAGATAATGTCACCATTGGGCATATAAACTATTTCTAGTTTTTCAAGATTACAAAGTATGATGCAACAAATACCTTTTTAGTGCATCTTTGCACATATCTCAGGTTATTTTTTATGCTAATTCTCAGAAGGGGAGTGGCTGGGTCAAAATATACATTTTTAAGACTTTGGAGAGATAGATACTGGAGTATAGGAGAATGACTGCTTCCCTTTATCAACATTAAATATTACTATACTTTTCAATCTGATTGTTATAAACTGCACTCTTTAATTTCTAGTAAGGTTAAGCACTTTTCATGTTTACTTCTTTTTAAACATGTGTATTCATGTCCTTTCCCAATTTTTCATTTGGACGTTTATCTTACTGATATGTCAGCATTCTCTATAACTGCACTTTATACTAATAGTAACAGGTTTCTTATACCAATCCACCAGACTATTTGGTCCCTTATCCTGCTTAACTTTAATCTTTTCCTCAACTCTTGGACTCTGCCGCACTCTCCCACTACCTCTACTTATTCCTCTGTCCCAAGTCTTCCAGGAATCCAGGCTTTTCTCCTACTGTGGTGTTTTCATGTCCAGTGTCAGCAGTCCAGGCCTGGCTCCCCCAGCTCCCCTCTTTTATAGTGTGTCATTATGCATTCACACCTCTGACAAGGCAATCCATAATCTTTGGCCCAACTGTTATATTATACTTTCTTATTCCAGTTCACAATAATCTTCTTTTCTAAAATCCTACAATTAATCTGGTGAATATAAATATATGTCCATGTAACAATTAAGGATCAGAAAAGTAGATGCAGCAGAAGAGTAAGAAAATCTCTATTCATTACCCAAATATGCCACTAACCAATCATCTAATTTAGTTAGAAGTCCTCTAAACCTTAGTTTGTTTAGCTGTACAATGAATTGCAAAATGAACTGGCTTATGTCTGTGATCTTTTCTACCTTTTAAGATTCTATGATTTTTGGGCCCACCGAGTGGCTCAGTTGGTTAAGAGCGCAAGCTCTGAGCGACAGCGTCACCAGTTCGATTCCCACATGGGCCAGGGAGCTGTGCCTGAGCTGAGCTGCCGCTGAGCTTCCAACAGGTAGCAGGATGGCTCAGCTGGTGAGAGCACGTGCTCCTAACAACAAGGTTGCCAGTTCGACTCCGGCATGGGATGGTGGGCTATGCTTACCCACAACTAAGATTGAACACGGCACCCTGAGCTGAGCAGCTACGAGCTGCCAACGGGCGGCCGGATGGCGGCAAGACTTGGAAGTGCTAGCTGCGCCCTCCACAACTAAGATTGAAGGACAATAACTTGGATGTTCCTCTTCCCCAATTCCTCAACACTGTTCCCCTTTCTCTCCCCACCCAAAAAAGGACTCTGATTCTTATGACAGATAAGGACAAACTATTAAAAAAAAGGCAAACACAAAAGGAAGTAATAAAGGCATAATCAGTGAAAGTTTCACAAGGAACGAGGACTTAAGCTGGGCTTTAATGACAAAGAATTAGTGGAAGGAAAAATAAAGTTATTTATTACAAAACAGAGCATAAACAAAAGCACAAATCTTTATTGGCCATCAACTATATCCCAGAGACTGCTGCTCAATTCTAGGAATATAACTAGTTAATATGTCAACTCAAGGAACACAGGTACAGAAGAAACCTGGCACCAACTAGGAAGGCTTCACAGAAGAAGCCTTGGGACTAGGAATTATGTACCTCAGCATGGAGGAGGAATAATAGTCAAATACATAGCTACACAGTCATGCAAAATAAATTAGTATACTTATGTCTAAATAGCAACAGTATTATTTTGCATATTTTCTACCTTGCTACTAATCTTACATGTCACTATAACCTTACCAATGGATAAAACTCCATTTCTGAATGTTTTAATATTCCCAAAATAAACCTATATTTTTTTTCTATATTTTAACCCATAAAAAAGATTAATCCAAAATATGCCAACTTAAAAATGTTCATACTCTTTTACCCAGCAACTTCACTGTTTAGGAATTTATCTTAAGGGGGAAGGATGCAACTAATATAATGATTTACCTATAAAGATGTTCACCTTAGTACTGTTTATAACAATAAAACACTGAAAATGACCTAAATGCAGTTCAGTATGAATGGACTGAATAAAATAGTGATATAGGCTTACAATGGAATACCATGCAGCCATTAATATAGAGATATACATATGTGTTGACATGTAAAGATGTTCATGATGTAGAGAGTAATAAAGAAAAAGTTACCATGATCCAATTTTTGTATAAAAAAATATTTATACACATGCACATATATATGTATGTATATGTGTATGTGTATACACACACACGCACACTTACATAAAAGGTTTTGAAGATAGAATCCAGGGTTCGAACTTCCATTTGTAAAACTTGGGTGAATTATCTAACCTTCTCTAAACTTTGGGTTCTTAATCTCCAAAATGAATAGTTATATTCCAGAATAGAGATTTGTACTTACCAGAATACAATGTAAATTTGTTAAATTGACCACCTCACAGACAGTTTTTATTCTATCTATTAATCTTGCAAAATAGTTGACCATTTCTTCCCTTTTAATTATTTTTGCATATCGAGGGAAGGTGGGTGGAAGTAGCCTCTGGTTAACAAGTGGCTCAAAACCCATCATAATTGGATGATCTAAAAAGAAAAAAAAATGAGCTTTTCAATGGTTCTCTGAATTTTAAACCTCAAATATTACTAAATGTAAAAAGAAAAAGGTCGGTTTCAAAAGCATCTCCAAATTCTAATCCAAATATTCTCTATTTATAATTTATAATTAATATATCCATAAACATATTTAAAAATGATAAGCTAGTCTTTCTCAACTTGAAGTCTAAAATGAAGTATATCCCTGAAATGCAAGCTGATTAAAAATTTGGGGTTCAGGCCGGCCGAGTGGCGCGATGGTTAGGAACTCGCTTGGGATGCCAGAGGGCCCCGGTTCGGATCCCACATGTGAGGGCCAGTGACACTGCCCTCCACAGCTAAGATGCTGAACAACAGCTCAACCTGGAGCTGGGCTGCCATGAGTCGCCGGCGACGGCGTGGGCTGCAGTCCCTGTGGCAGTGGATTGCAATGGGCTACCGTGTGTAGCCAGCAGCCAGCGTGAGCGGCTAGCAGCCGCAGTGAGCGGCAGTCCAGATGCCGGCGACTGATCTGCCTTGCCAGAGAAGAGCGCAATGATGGTGCCAACTTGGGCCAGTGAGGCAACGTCCTCCACAACTAGATTGAAGAACAAAACGACAGCAACTTGCCTGTTCCCCTTTCCCCAATTCCCCAGCACTGTTCCCATCCCCCCAATTCCCCAATAAAAATCTTAAAAAAAAAAAAAAATAAATAAAAAAAAAATTTGGGGTTCAAAATTCTCTTGCTGGACTACAAAGAGGCTACAAACCAAAAATATAAAAAGAAAATAGTTTCAGATGTAATGAAAGAAAAATATTAAAGCTGATCAGGTCTCATTATTAAGAATTAAAGGCAAGAGTGATACTTAACCAAATTATAATAATGCTCCTTAGACATATACCCTAATTGTTCCTTAGGATCATGCAAACAAAGATGTTCCCCAGGGTTCCTGGCCTTTCTCTTCTTCTTTATACTGAAGTTCTCTCTGACTGAAGTTACTTATTCTTATATAAATTCCAGTTTAGGTGATGATTTCCAGACTACAATCCTTAGCCCACAATCTTCCTTCTCTGGGTACCAAACATGATTTCTGACTACATAACAGAAACCACTTTCACCTTGGTATCCCACACCATCTCGAAAGGCACATATCCAAAAGCTACCGTAAATCTTTTCCCAAACATTGCTTCTCCTCTTATATTCCCTTTCTCAGTAAAATGACCCATTGTCCTTACAAATTGCTTAAGTCAGAAACCTCCCTGTCTCTTCTCACCTCCCCATCTGCTTTATTTAATCAGTTCCCAGGTCTTAACCATCCCCGTTCCTACCATCTACCCAATCTGTCTCTCCTCTTCACTCACTACCACTGCAAAGCCTGGTTTCCCTGCACTGACTGCTCCCTCTTTAAATTAATCCTAAATGTTGCCACCTCAATTATTTTATCTAAATTACACCTGACTTCACTCCCCTAATCCAAAGATTTTATATATAGCACATATTCTTCAGCAGGGCACTTAAAGGTACTTTACCATTTTCTCCCATTTCTATAGAAAGAAAAATTTGTACTTTAATGAAAAACTATGCATTGTTAGATTGATCCTATGGGAGCTATTTTAAAAATCTTAAATCAGCTATTAATAATTGAGAGACATGCAATTCTGTCCTGTCTGGTAGAGATTCAACGGACTTCCTACTCACTATATAGAAAAAACAGTTTTGCCTCCACTAATAATTTATTTTGACATTCTAATACTCCATAAAAATCGGTGCATTTTAAAACTTTCATGTCTTGTTATGTCATTGAACGAGTTTAACAAAATCCTTCATACGTTATGTATGTATGAGAGTCACAGTTTTGCCTTTTTCTGAAAATCATCTTTTAACACTCCCTATTCCCTAAACTCCATAAGCTATAAACAAGCACAGTGCCTTACAAATATCATGCTCTTTTATGCCTCTTTACTTACACACAAACTATTCTCTCTACCTGCAAAACCTACCCCCTTATTCTTAACCTGGGAGACTTGATATAGCTTGAATTCCTCACCTTAGGTCCTCCCCTAGTACTCTGTATATACACCACTGCATTGTCTGTGTGGGATTACATCATTTGTTCCTCCCTCTTGAATTCTTTTGAAAGCAGGAACTGGTTTGTGTCCCATATCTGAATGCCTTGCTTATAACAGGCACTGGATATGTTTGTTGAATGACAAGATATGCATGCTCAAAATAAAACAAAAGACTGCTACCAGTATAATAAAATAGTCTGATTTATAACACTTAATTAGAATTAAGGTACAGTAGTAGTGACAACATTGTAAGAATCTTCTTTACCATACCGACATGAATACATTTGGGGCTAAATTGATAAATGCACAGATCCGGACACTTAAAAAGTACATTACCCTTATTTTTCCTTAAAGCATTCTAATATGCATCTGAAACTATTATGGAGAAATATTCTTTTATTCTTAATACACATATTTTTTAGGCTTTAAACTATAAGAAGAAGATAGATACTAGCCACTCATGAAAATCTGTATTACCATGGAAAGAAGTAAATATTAATGGGAAATGGATAACAAATACAATATATTCTGTATTACATTCACTTTTGTACAAACTAAAAAGTGCAATATAAAACAATATTAACTTCTAAAATGAATTCAGCTCTCCTGTATACTACTAAGTGTTTAGCAGTATTCCTGACCTCTATCCATCAGATGACAGTAGCATTCCCCTAATTGTGAAAACCAAAAACAGATTCAGGCATTACTAAATGTCTCTGGGGGGCCACATTTGACAAACACTGGTCCAGACAAATATAATAAGCAAGTATAATTCAGTATGGATAAACTTAGGAAGTAACAAGGGTATTTAATCCACAGAGAAATTAGAAGACTTCCTATAAGTGAAGTCTAAGGAAAGATCTAAATGATGAGAAGAAGTTAGTCAAAGGACAAAATATGAGTTAGGACAAGTATTCCACGCATATCAAAGGCCTAGAGGACAGACACTATGGCTCCTTTTCTTTTTTCCTTAGGAAGCGGCAATATTCCAAGTCATAACTTCTCCAAATTCAAAAAGTAAAAACAGATGCATATAAATGGAATGGGGACAAACTCTATGCATAAAGTTAGAAGTTATCTGTATGCTTCTCTCCATTCTCCACATACATTTAAATTTTTCCGGACATAGTCCTTGTTAATGGTTAAAGTGGTTCCTGGTAGCTATCTTTAGATCTCATCTGTTGATGAAGCTCATGCATAAGGACTTTGTAACCATCCCATATAAGACATAGTAGCTTTCCTGACTAGAAAAGAACTTAAGAACTGAGATACAGTTATTCATGATATAGAACAGAGTTGAGCAGGAGAGGGGCTAAAAGGCAGGCAGGAGTTTCTATTTTGTTTCATGGCAACATAAACTAAAAAGTTTTAAGAACAGTCCACAGTACTCAGGATGTGGCAAAGAGGAGTATCACAATCCAGTCATCTGGAAGACTCTTGTTTTGCATCATTAATACCTTCTTGTTACATAACCCAACAATCAAATTAATTTGAAGTAATGAATTATACAGTGGTTTTCACAAAAGTATTCTTGCACTAGCTTCGAAGTATTGGAGAGTTGCAGATATTTGCAGATATGTTATACTTCTCTGTAAACATGTACTAGATAGTGTGCTATGCATTGACAGCCTTTCATCGGTTACAGAATGCCACCTAGTCAGTCATCTCATCTATATATTTCCCCTCCTGAGGAAAATGAAAAAGTTCATGAATTAATAAATTCAGTATAATGATTAGATACATCAGGATTATGATAATAGTCATTTCCTAAGCCAAATTACCTTTGCACTGTTCTACTACCTGATGTTTGAGTAAGAAAAAAATTTGTGGGGAGGTGAACACAACAACCACTGTCCCTAAGAGGAGGGGGTGGGATGGAAAAGGCAAGCAGTGTGAATCAGCGAAAGCTGGACCTCCTGGTCACAAGACAACAACTGGGAAAAACTAATTTAAAGAATATCAATATCATCTCATTTTAGTAAGTTTTAAGGGTAATCAAAATCGCTATACATTATCTAAAATATTAACTCAGTTGCAACTTTTACAACAAAAGTACACTATTCCTTTTATTTTAAGGCATAGTTTATAAATAAAATCTACTGAGTGTCAACAATGCACCAAGTACTATAGAGATATACAAATAAGACTGTCCCTTGGCCTAAATCTGTGAAAATCTCATGGAAAGGCAAATAGGTAAACAACTGCACTATAATGTACTAAAAAATGTAAACGAGGTGTGTATGAATGCAATGAGGCCACAGAGGGAATACTTAGGCCTGCCTGGTAGAGTCAGGGAACACTTTATGATGGAGGCGATGATCTCTCAAAGGAGTAAAGGTGAGGCTGACATCACAGCATGATCACCAGACTAGGTAAATATTCAGAGCCCAAACAGTAAGGTACAGGAGATGGCCATGTTCTATAGTACTGTTTTTGTTCTAAAAAGAATTTTAAAAGAAGCGAGTATAAGCACTGCATGTAAGTCTACGGAGCAAAACTTTCTAAGGTCCAGATAGAAATTGTAGAACAAACCAAACACTATACACTTGATGGTAAAGCATTAAAAAAAAAAAAAAAAAAAAAGAGTGGGAGCAAAACAATTACCTCCTTTAGTAGTATCGTTCTGGGCCTGGATGCCATGATGCAAAGAATTATGAATGGCAGAAAGAAGATCTGCTGCTTGAACCATCAATTTTTGAGCTTCTGCAACAGCGCTGGTCTAGCAAACAAATCACCAAAAACATTCTTACATATTCTTTCACTGAAAGATATACATTAAATAGGAAAACCCTATAAACAATAATGAAATTAAATGCTTATTGTAATGACATTGGTTTCCACAAACTATTCACTTAAATACAGGATGCCCAGATCCTGTTAGGAAAGAAATTATTTTTTTACCCATATCTATATTTCATAGGAGCCATTAAAAAACAATAGGAAACGTTTCTGGTTTATTCATTAATCTTTTGTTTTAAAAAAGAGAGAGAGGGAGATGCAAACAACTGGAAAATTTCAGCATTTGTACTTTGTCATTCATTGAGGTGAAATACCAAAACAAAAACAAAAAAACCCAGAAAAATAGTATTACGAACATTAGAACAATGGTAAAGATTGGATCTTTACTCACCACTTATTAACTATTCACAAATTAGTCCACTAATAATATATTCTTTTTATATCAATAACAGACATGCACGTTATGGAGCAGAATATAAAATTCATGTGACTTTGAGAAAATCATCAAGGTTACTCTGATGTAAATACACCAAATGTTGAGTGCTGTATATGTGCAATCAGGGGTATTTTTACAGAAAGTCTCAGAACTACTTCAATAAAGCATTCCAGACCCCCCTTCCTCCTGCAAAACAACGCACTAAAATAGGCAGATTATAGTAAATGCCCTCACCTCTTTCTTAGTAAACGCTATAAGCACTGTCAGTAACACTCGAGTAAATTTCACTCTGCTGAATACTGCTAAACACTGTTGGTGCTAAAAAATAGGAAAGAACTGGAAGTTAAAAGATGCAAAGTTTGTCAAAGGAATTTCATTTTTAAATATGGTATTTTAAGTCCTAAATCTCAGTGTTAATAATTTACTACATTACAAACATCTTTACTTATAGTCTTTTAAATGCCTGAAAATGAGCTGCAGAAAACATAACAAAGCCTATTCTATTAAATTAGAACTACAAAGTAAAATTTCTGTATCAACAGGACTGATTTTTCCCTAAGACAAGTTACACTATTATCTCAAAAACTGATTTAATTAGCATTTTTAAAACAAGGATTGTTAAAAAGGTTCTTAAACAGTCAGAAAATTTAGGATCTCAACAAAGGTTTAGCAACTTTTGATACTGTGTAAATTCTTGAGTTTTGCCAAGCTTTGATGTATCATCTGTAAAAGTCATTTTTTCTTCCTACCTCACAGGAATATTGAAGATTCAGCTTTGAAATCATGTATCTGAAAGAGCTGTATTATCATTCTATCAAAATAAATACAAGGGAAATAAAATCCTTTGCAATGTCCAATTTTTAAAGAAATACCTTAAAAAGGGCTTCCATAAATTATAACGCAGTTCATAAAACTACAACATTAAGAGGTAGACTTCTCTGATATTATCTACCAGAAAATAAGTTCAATTACTTCTAGTTCAACTTCTGGATCTCTTTCTTCTCCTTGTCGACTTCGAGTACTCTAAAATTTTAAAAAAGGTGAATTAAAACAAACACAAACCTGTATAAGCATTAAATTATAAATATACAAGGTAAAGCACTAAATTTCTGAATATATATAAGAAGCCTGATTTAGAAAAATATTTGCGAGCAGGGGGAAAACTGTATTTAGTATTTCTTTTTCTATTACTATATACAGAAAGTTCATTTTTATATAAATTTAAAGAATAAGGTATTAAAAACCTCAAAAGCAAAACAGTGAAATAACATAAGTAAAAGCACATGGAATTCTTTTTTTAAAGGAATCTAGTCATTGAAATTCCTGATGCTTTCAAAACTAACTGTTAGAAAAAAAACAGTAACTTTTACAAAATCACATCATAAAAATGGCACATAGTAAAATACTAATGTGTTTCTGCGCCAAAATGCAAAGCACCTTGTTGATACATGAGTAATAGATGGTTGGCTATGATAAAATTCCAGGGCAGTTAACCTGACATTTAGAAGAAAACAAAAATCCTACACCAAAGAGAAAAATACATATATACCTTTACTCTTCTTTGCATGTCATCCTCCACATCTTTTAGCATGCCTAGAAAGAGAGACAATGAGGTTAAAAAGGAAACAAATCCAAACGTTAAACTTGTGAATTATCTTTATAAATGGTTTTACCTGTAACTCGAAGATCTGTCACACTGTTAGCCATTTTAAATCCATAAGTCATTGACTGAAAATCTTCCTAAACAGAAAAGGAATAATTAGGCCCATGAGTAGTAGCAAAACCTTTCATTATATTTCTCTTACAAAATCACTACTTGCTAATAAGAAAACAGAAATGGGATATCATCCTGCTTGTCTAAATATCCCTATCAAACATTTAAGCTTTCCTATTGGTGTACCCTTAAAATACCATATTCTAATGCTCTCTGTGTCCTTAATTTCAATTGCTTGTCCTTCGGTAACTTAAATATATTTTCATTTAATATGTTCATTTGCAAATAAGGCTAATTAATACTTATGATATTACATGATGATAACTCCCACTTAGAGTATTCTGACATTCACAGGCAAACAGCAAATACACGGTATGTATTTTCTTTATGAATCCCCACAATGTCCTGAACAAAGTACTCTGCACATAATGGATACTCAATGAATGGTAGAAAGAACAAACATATAGAAAGAACATACATTAAGATGAAAGGCCTTCCTTGGAGAGAGCTGGATTACTTTAGCTAATATATTTGTAAACAGCAATAGCTGTTTTAAAAACTGTTTTTAAATACACGTTACAAAAGTATGTATCATACGATCATTTAAACATGTCACAGTGAATAAGGTGGTCAATGAGCTTCAAGAATTCTTACACTACAAAATCTTACCTCTTCAAAAACAGCAGCTTTATTTACTTTTTCCCTTGCAATGTCACAGATTTTCAAGATTCCCAGAGCAAAAGCTTTCATGGCAGGATCTTCTATAAAGTCTGGGTTATGAATGTAAAGGCACGTAAATACTGTCTGTGCCAAGGAGTGGCCTTCTAACCATGTTATCTATACAATAAATGAAAGAAGGTATATGTTTAAGGTGACACAGAGTCTGCAAAGTCTAAATTGACCTAACAGTCCAACAAGACCAGATCGCCACAGACCCAAATAAATATAAGATTAAATCACAAGATTTAAAATGTGATTAAAGGGAAGGTCAGGGAAGATAAAAACATTAGAATTCACTTTCATTGACTATAAAGTCTTTCAAGAATCATACAACAGAAATATGATTTGCTGAAAGATACAAATATGGGAAGCATTCTTAAGTGTAATTCAGTTTGCAATATATTTGGAGATTAATGATATTAGAGTGCCTCCTTATATAGCATCCAAAAGCAATTTCATGTGTAGTCAATACAAATCCATAAACTAGGAAATGTATAATTTTGACCTAATTAGGTCCCTAGTCACTCATTCAACTCTTCTTTTTCATCCTCACTGCCACCAATCCAGTCAGCAGCATCATATCCCACTTAGATGACTGCAAAAAGCTATACAATGGTTTTACTGCCTCCCATCTCTAATTCAATACCCCCAACCAGAGGAATCTTTCTAAAACACAAAAATAATCATTCAATACTATTTTATTGAATAGCTACAATGGGTCAAGTATCAGGTACTAAAAGCTGGGAATACTTATAGCAGCCAAAATGGAGTAACTACTATGTCCCAAGTGCTATGCTAGGTATTTTCATATATCCTATCTCATTGTTCCTAACACTCTGAGGAGGGTGGTATTTTTCTCCTTTTACATATAAAGAAACAGAGTCAGAGAATATAAATAATTTTGTCCAAGTTTGTATAGTTATATTTTACACTAAATTCAAGAATTCTGCAATAGAATAAGGCACACAGTACTGCATTACAAAAGTTAGAAATGTACATGAAAATTACTGTAATCAAGGTATGTATTTTGTATTACCAGTGTGCAGAAGACTTTCCAGACTAAAAACTATTGTATCTGCTTATTAAAGGTCAAACTCTCAGATACAGTCCCAAGAGTCTCATACAATGGTTATTCAACTTTGGCAAAAACTCTCCCTCTTGCCTCCATTTGTCCTAGGACATTACTAGGACTGTAAACTGCTAAAGGGTAATAAAGATATCATTGATGGAGAGACAGCTTTGGAGGAAGAAGTATCAGGATTAGGATTCAGGTTCCTAGCAATGTAATCTAAGGCAAATAAGGTGATACCATGTATCTAATAGAGCTAATGTAAGGCCTAAGTGAATAATATACATGTAAAACAACCTAACAAAGTACTTTACACACACTGGTAATCAATACTTATTAAATAACCAAATAAATAAATTTTGCATATTTCTAAGGACAATGATTTAAAAGTTTAAAAAGAAAGGGACAGCCACAAAGTAGGCAAAAAATAAAAAAGGCAGTACAAATGAGAATTTTCCCAGAATTAACCAACACTGTCTAGGGAAGACAACCTATCCACCATAAGGAAAGCACTAAAAAATCTTTGTCATTTTCAAAAAGATGGCCACTTTACTACAATTTACCCTAGATTAGGAAAACTATCTTTCCAAAGCCAATCCAAAGTTCTTTGTTTCGATTCCATGCTTATTTATGCAAACTTCCAATTACAGATTTGTTTCCCTGGGTATCTTGAAAACAAAAAAGGGTACTTAGAATAATGGCTATATTATTATCCTCTCTAGAAAGCAAATATCCCCATACTCAGAAAATGAGAACCAAAAATCACCCAGATGAGAAGATATAATGCTATTTCCTATAGCAAAACTTGGCCTGCTAATCTTACATACACCTTACTAGGCTCAACATTAGTGTGTATACTTTTAAATTTAAGGATTCAGGTAAGTCATAGTTTTTAAATTAACCAATAGTGCTATTTTCAACTCTTACCAAACAGCAAAAACATGTATCCATTATCCCTATCAATTCAGGCAAGGTGAGGTCTTTAATTTTAATGGTGCCATCCTAAAAAGGAGGGGAAATATGACATATAAGCAGAAGTTTTTTAAAATTTATGTATAATGGCGTTTTGCAAATGCTATAGCAAACCTATGTACAGTAGCATTCTGGCTTTCAAAAATTAAATATTTAAAAATAGCAATTCTAAGAAAACTCTATCTCATCAGCTGATAAAACTAAGATACCAAATTAACTATGTATTCTTAAAAATAGTATATCTTAAACAGGTCTTCAATAAGAAAAATAATAGTCGCTCTCATGTGAAACAGAATAAAGGCTTTTATAAAGAGATGAAAAGTCAAACCAACAAGTATTTTATAAGCACAATTTAAATTAGTTTCAAGAATTAATAATTATCAAAACTGCAAATAAAATAAACATCTTAAAAAACACTTCCCTTAAGTTGGTTAACTACACTACTTGTACATTTTGTTTACAATATCCATTTACTTAGCAAGTATTTCTTCATAAAATATGTAAAATTAAACTCTGGCAACTATGAATGAATTTCTCAATCAATTCTCAATAAGGAAATTTCAAATTCACTACCACAAGCATTTTACTTAACATATTAATACATAAAATTTAGTCCCAAAGCCAGTTACCCTGGTATTTGTATACTCAAATGCTTTCAAAAATCAATTTTAAAAGTGTACACACACACATACAAATTTAGAACAAGCTTTTAATGAAGATCTTATAAATTTTCAGATTTCAACAAAAAGAGATAACTAAAGGTTTTTACTAATTCTTGTTTATATACCAGATACTTTTAGAAAATTACACTTTAAGTTAATATACTAAGTTTGATTTCCATTAGTAATCAGAATGTTTTAACACATAAGTAACAAACAATAAAAGAAAACACCAAAAGCACAATGGTGACTACCTTGATAGCTTGTTCAAAATTGAGAACTTTTCGATTGACTTGGTTTCCGATCATGCCAGCATCCATCTTGGGATCCATCATTTCAATGGCAGACATGGCTTCAAAAAGACCAAATCTGCAAATAAAAAAACTGTTTCTGAACTAGCTTACCCAGATTCCCACAATGGCATAAAATTATAATACTTAAGTAGCTACAGTATTCTTTTTAAGTCTTTCCTACTTGCTAACACGTCTACTTCAACTGACTAACCTTCCTTTAACTCAACAATTCTTCCATGTACTTGTTACTGGAATTATTTTATATGAACTGTGGAAGAGAAAACGAAAGATGATGGTGTTGCCTTCCACAAGGCTGCACATCAGAAAGTTATGAACCAAAGAGATCAACTGATCTATAATGGATTCCACTTCGTCTTCCTTAAATAATTTTCTCTAACTACTTAACATTTAGAAAGTCATGCTTGGCTGAATCATTAGCAAACGTAACTTTTAGATTTTTTTTCATTTTCTTTATATCTTAAAGTCCAACAATCTGGCACATTACACTCTACAATGCCCAAAGTTTTGGCAAGTACATAATGAAAAGTAATACAGAAATCCTGATGGTCTGGTATCTGTGGCTTATTAACCATAAAAGCAGATAGTTGTGATGCACTGTGGACTGATTAGTGAGTATATCATTAACTGAGATACACCTCAAGAAATGGGAGAAGAAAAGCCTAAAAGAAAGTTTGACTGTAGCTATTTCATTCATTCAGCAAATACTTACTGAGTGCCTACTATGTGCTAGGCACAGTGCTAGGCACTTGGGATACATGAGTGAGCAAAACAATTTGCCTGCCTCATGGAACTTACATTCTAGTGGAAGGAAATAAACAATAAAGGTATGTAAGTTACACAGTATGTTAGGAAACAGTACATGCTAGGGAGAAAAGAAAAGACAGCTAAAGAAGATATGAATTGGAAAGATGCAACTTTAATAGATGGTCAGGGTAGGCTGCTGTTCCCTAGGCTGAGCCTAAAACCTGGGGGAAATAAAGAGGGCGAGGGCCCCTCTAGCTGTGCTCTTAAATCTTGTTCCATAGCTCTCGTGATTTCATTTCATTACTGCATTTCCCCATGTATAAGACGCACCTTAATTTGGGGGCCCAAAATTTGAAAAAAAAAAGTATTACCTAAAGTTACTGAACTCAAGTTTTATTCATCATAGAATTCATACAACTCCTCATCACTGTCAAAACTCCCAACCATTAGGGTTGGCCCAGTGGCTCAGTTGGTTAAGAGCTCACTCAAGAGTTTGAGCTCTGAGCAACAGCGGTTCGATTCCCGGCCCAAGCTGAGCAGCCGCTGAGATGCCAACAGGTGGCAGGATGGCTCAGCTTAAAAAAAACAAAAACTCCCAACCATTAGCTTGTCCTCATCTGTGTCTGATGACAAATCACTGTCTTCATATATTGCCTCGTCCTCAATGGGAAATGCAAGTAAAAGAATCTACAACCACTGTATAAGATGCACCCAGTTTTTAGACCCCAAATTTTTTGAAAAGGGGTGCGTCTTATACATGGGAAAATACGGTATATCCTTCCTATAATTGCCTGCGACATCAAAATGACCTATAGTGGTTCTCAAAGGGTGGTCCCTGGATTAGCAGCATCAATCTCAACTGGGAATTTGCAAAAAATGCAACTTCTGAGGTCCCACACCAGAGCTACTAAATAAGGAACTCTGGGGGTGGGGCCTCGCAATCTGCATTTAAAAAGCCCTTCAGATGATTCTGATGCGCACACTAAAGTTCAAGAAAAACTAAATTTCAGATTCTAATCCTCCTCCTCAAATGTCCAATCTTGTCCACTTACTAATTTAAAATTTCTTATTCCTAACCTTGAAAACTGAGCCTGGATCTAGCAGTATGGGAACTGAGGCTATCTATGAGAATATAAATATCATCAAGCATTTCCCTTTATTTTATCTTTCCAGGGATTCTCAATCTACTTTCCTCCAGGCATTTAGTCACCTATCCCTGGTCATCAACCAGCCTATCATATATGGCATACAACTGACACCTTTTCTTTAAGGAATTGTACATCCTGTACATTTACCCTCAAGGAAAGGGCCATAAGTCAGTTTCACTGATACTAACATTTCATGTCACAACTAGGGTCATCAGCCCCAAAATAGCTCACCGAGGTTAAAAATATATTTATATTAGTATTATTTTGATAGGTTTAAAATATAAAATAATCAAACTTCAAGGAACACTACTGTACACAAGAAAAAATAGATGGAAACATCACACCACACTATTTCAAAGGACAAAAATACTTACAGCTTATCATGAAGCAGCTCTCCCAACTTTAATTCTAAAAGAAACAGAGAAAAACCCTTTGAATAATACCATATTTACATTTAACTTTTAATGCTAAGAAAAAAATGAAGCAAAGTATTAGCATCTGAAAAATGTACTTGCATTACTTTAAACTTCATTTTCAAAGAAATGGTTGTATTATTTCTAGTCAAGTACTAATATAATGCCTTCTACACAGTGAATATTTAGAAATTAACCCTAAATTGAACTTTTGAGAATTAACAAATTACCCATCATGGGCCACAATAATCCAATCAGAATTACCAAACTCATTAAAGAAAAATTACCTGTAAATTCTCCCCTAAATAAAGTTTTTCATAGAACTCACTGCTATTCCTCAAAAGTTGTTTTTGTAAAACTTGATGTCATAACCTAATCTCTTTTTGTCCTAGGAACAGTGTTAAAACTATTTTTTAATTATATTTTATTTATATAACATAGAAAACACTTGTGTAAACATCAACCGAAACAGCTGTCATCCCCTATAAAGCAGTTCTCAACCTTGGCTGCAATATTGGTATCAACTGGGGAGCATTTGAAAGTTTCAAAGTTCAAGCAGCACCCCAAACCAACTAAATTCTAGAAGATGGGACTTATGCAGTGGTTTTAAAGCACTCCAGGTGATTTCAATGTGCAGGTAAGGTGGGAACCACTACCGTAACATTTCAAGTAGTTTAAATACTGATGATCAAATCCTATGGAAGGTGTAAACAAGCAGTTTTCAGAACTTTACTCATCCTCCTCGCTAATCATAAGTTAACAATCATTTTTAACAGTTCCATGTACCAAAACAGATAAATCAATGAGAAGGCTGTATCAAAATACTACAATAAAGCATAATAGAACATACCTCAGTTCTCAAAGATGGTCTGGGAACGCAGGAGTCTGTGATGTTAAAATTATTTTCATAATACTACTAAACCATTGTCTTTTTCATTTTGACATCTGCACTGATAATGCAAAAGCAATGATGTAAAGGGGGCGGGGGGAAGCAAGGTTGGGCAAAACTGCTATAGCTTCAGCACAAATCAAGACAGTGGTCCTAAGCTAAATAGTATATTCTTCAACTCCATGCACTTGCATTTAAAAAAGACATTTAAAATTTCACTTAAGTCCTGGATGAAGCAGTAAAAATTACTAATCTCAGAGGCAGGACCAGGTTGCAGCAAGTGAGGTACCTATGTACAAAAAGTAAGGAGGCACTCACTTTCAGGTAGTGCCTTTTTAAATTCTGTACTCTAGGTGCCTCACTTGCTTCACCTTAGTGCTGAGCCCTGATCTATCTTATTAAATCTCAATCTTTGAGTAAATGGCTTAATATTCTATTTGACAAAATGGGAAGTATATATTAACTTCCGCTGCATACCAGAGTAAGAGGCTGTCTCCAAGAAAAGCGCTTGCACAATTATCATGGAATACCATTTTTCCTTGCAAGAACAACTGACAAACGAGTTATTCAGACTTGAGAATATGGCATTTTCTCGAAAATAAACGAGTTTGTCGCTTTAAGGAAAAAACTGATGATGTTTGTTATCAATGATAAAATCTGAGCTTTCAAGCAAAAATTAAAATTTTGGAAAACATGTATCTGCCATTGTGATCCTGACAGTGTCCCAATAGTTATATTTTGCAAATGGCTATGCATGTTACAAAATTAGGCATAGATAAAAGATCCATTCAAAGTTCAAGATGCACCAATGAGTTTTAATTTAACAGCGCATGAAAAGTCCACTGATATGGCTTCACATTATAACTAATCTTTAAGAAAACTGCCACCTGTTAAGTTTTGGTATAGTATTAAAGAAGAATATTCACAATTATCTGAAAAGTTTCAACCACTTTTCAACTACATATTTGCTGAGGTCAGATTTACTTCATCTAATCTACTGGTGATTCCTTCGAGTGTGTTCTTCATTTCAGTTATTGTATTCTTTAGTTCTACCTGGTTGTTTTTTATGATTTCTGTATCCTTCTTTATATCCTTCTTAAGTTCCTGAAACATTCTTATCATCAGTGTTCTAAAACTCTGTCTCTGAAAGGTTGGATACCTCTGTTTCATTTAGTTGCATTTCTTGAGGTTTCTTCTGATCTTTTACTTGGGACATGTTTCTTTGTTTCTTCATTCTGGCTGTCGGCTCTGATTGCTTCAATGTATTAAATCACCAGCGAGCAATTAGGTTTGCCAGCTCCACTGTTTCTCCAGCCGCCCCCAGCCTCACCGAGCCTAGCAACGAAGTCCTCACTATTTTCTCCTTCCAGCTATCGTAGAACTCTTCCCGGCAACGTAACTCTGGGGTGGTGAGCGCGGTGTGGGGCCGGAGGGTCTTGCCCCCAACCGGAGAAGCCTCCCCACCTCTGAGGTGACCCTCACGGGGCTCGCCCTCTCTCGTCTCCGCCCCTCCTACCGGACTCGATGTGGCCTCCTCTTTAAGTCCTTCGTTTAGAGGTTCTGTTCATCTAGGGTCCAGGGAAATTCCGAGGTTGAATTCAGCAGAGGATGGCAGCTAAACCCCCAATGCCAGGTCTGTTCACGCCACCTCTGGGCTTCCTGTTCTCCTGATGCAGCAACCCTTCTGCTTTCGAGGTGCTTCTTGTATTCACCACAGCTTTATACCTGTCCTGGTTCAAGCCCTTAATCTCTTTTTAGAACTGTTGCGATATGCGGGAGACCAGCTCCCGCAGGTCCAGGGGTCCCTTCAGGTGGAGGCGGAGTCGGCGAAGAAAAAACGCACGGAGACACAGGAGCGCTTTCTCAAGAAGAAGTGTCTCCCAGATTTACTTCATATACTTCAATCAAAACAAACATGTGGCAACACACTGAATACAGAAGCAGATATGGAATTCAGGTGTCCTCTGTTATGCCAACATTAAAGAGATTTTCAAAAATATAAAACTCCACTCATCTATTTTTTTGTTTTGGAAAATACATTTATTTTTCATTAGAAAAATGTTATGTTAACATGCAATTGGTTTATTATCATTTTCAAATGAATTAAGAAGTACCTTTAAATTTTCTGTTTTAAATTCTAACACAGTAAACATCTATATATATTTCACACATGAGCAATAGTTAAAGAGTGTAATTTTTAATATAATGGGGTCCTGAGAACCCCCCCAAAATTGAGAACTGTTGTAATAATCTATCATATACTTAGGGTAGATTTGGGTACCAAATAACTTCACCAAACTTAAAAACACTCCACAGACCTAGAAGCCAGTCAGTCACTCTGGGCCTTGGTTTCCTCATCTGTAAAACGAAGGGCTGAACTAGATAATTCTCGTGAGGTCCTTAGAACTCCAGTAATCAGTCAGATCATTAGTAAACTATAGGCAGTAGGCTTTAAAATTTACTCACTAAGGAGAGTACCAGCACTCTCATTGCATAATCAATAATTGGACATAGAATCATGACTTTGTATGGCACCATAGACATAAGTAACTTGGTTCTTATCCAATTGAGCAGCAGTTCTCAAAACATTTAGTGAGAAGGATACTGTTTTACATTTATCATTAGCAGTCAGAGCAATGACATCATCACACATGCAGTCTCGAAAATTCCACTAAACACTAATAAGAATGAGTCCAAAAGGCAAGTTAGTGTATTATTATTACCATGAAAATAATCTGAACCTAGCATACCCCATAATCTTGGGGATCCTAGGGACCACATACCCCACCAAACCACTGAATTAAGTTAACACAATAATTCTTTTAAAAGTTACTTCCACTTTTAAGTTCAAGTCTTACGTAGGTACAATAGTATAGAGCTTAAACCACTCAGAGCAAAGGGAAAAAAATTAGATAAGGAAAAGATGATGATTCAAAAATTTCGGGACAATCTTGACAGTAAACTACTTTTTAAATTTTATCCTCACTCTCATGAGGCATGAAGATATATGTTGTTAGAAAAAACTTAATTTTGTCAATTACAGAATTTCATGACATTTTACTGAGAACAGAACATCATTTCTTTTGCCTTGGAAATGAACAATGAATCATAACTTGTAGCTGGAGTTTTATGCAGCAGTGCTAAGCACTTGAAGCATATGATCATTCTGCAGAAATGTCATCTAATAGGACAGAGAAAAACATGCAACTATGCAACAATGAAACACATTTTACCATCTTTCCTTTTTTTTTTTTTTTTTTTTTGCTGAGCCATCCTGCTACCTGTTGGCAGCTCAGCAGCAACTCAGCTCGGGCCGGGCATCAGACCACTGTTGCTCAGAGCCCCCACTCTTGCGCAAGCTCTTAACCAACTGAGCCACTCGGCCGACCCCACATTTTACCATATTAAAATGAGAAAGTTATCTGTAAACTGGTGTTATAGATCTTTGAAGAGATTTTCTTTTTTTTAAAGATTTTGATTAAAATATAGCTAACATGCAATATTATATTAGTTTTTGGTGTCCATCACAGTTATTCAACAGTATTCACCTAGCACTATACAGAGTTCTTACCACATTATTGATTATATTCCCTATGCTAAAGAAGTGATTACCATGGTAAGTCCAGCAACCATCTGACACTGTACCATACTATCACAATATTATTGATCTTTCCTCCCTTTTAAAATTTTTCAATTATAGTTGGCATTCAATATTATATGTTAGTTTCAAGTGTATAGCATAGTGGTTTAGACATTTATGTAATTTATGAAGTGATCCCCCTGACTAGTATCACCTGGCACTATACATAGTTATTACCACGTTATTGATTATATTCCCTATACTTTACATCCCCGTGACTATTTTGTAACTAACTACCAATTTGTATTTCTTAGTCCCTTCACCTTTTTCGTCCTATCTCCAACCCCCCTCCCATCTACCGCCCCGATAGATTTAGTACCCATTGACACTATACCTAATTATTACTGAATAGATTTCTACACATAACATTACAAGTGATGGTTAAGTTCCCAGCTAGGGTCCCTCTATGAAGGCCCTATTGAATCTATGATACAGCTGAAATCCAATACCATTCCAATATTGATAT